CCTGGGGCTCTGCTGTTTAGAGCTCAAGCAGAGAAGTTCAGTGTGTAGGCTGAACAGGGCTGGGGGTTTACCCAGGTGGAGGAGACTGAAGGGTAAGGGGTCAGAGAGCGAGCGGTCTAAGCTGGGAAGAAAGCGTGAAGGAGGGTGGTGGGTGGGGAGAAACAGAAGAGTTGGGTTCCGGGCTGGGGATGCTGGTGTGGCTGAGGACCCCACCTGCTGAGAGAGAGGGAGTCATGAACGGTCTTGTAGTGTGAGAGCAGAGTTGGAGACTCCAGAGACAAGCAGTTTAGGGTCTAGAGTGTGGCCACGGGCAGAGACAAGAGAAAAAGGTGGGAGGTGAAAGTCACTGGGCTTGAGGAGCTAAGAAAGGATCAGGCAAAGATGCGGGACGGGTCCTCTCCAGGGAGAATGAGGCTGCCAGGGGGGAGATGGGCACCAGGAACCAGGGCCAGAGTCCTTGGTGAGCCAAAGGGTGTGGCCAGGAGGTGACCATGGGCCAGCAGGGACCAGCCACAGGGAGCAGGTAGACATGGTATAGCTGGACAGCAGGAGCCTCACAGGCTTTTCAAAACGATAGTGATTTGTGCAATCAATATATAAAGGTAAAAACTCAATCAGTAAATAAAAGATCTTATTCTCTTCAATAAGTACCATTCCTCTGAATGTATGTAGCTTAATTCATCTAATCACTTCCCATTGACGGGCATATATGTTGCTTTCTGGTTTTCACAAATATAAAATAATGGCAGCAGGGACCACACGTACATGTGCACTTTTGGTGAGAGCATCTTTAGGATGAGTTCCTGGCAGTGGAAGTACTTGGACAAGGACAAGTGGATTCATTTAATTTGCTTTGTTTACTGAGGTAAGGACACGTGTCTTCAATTCTGATAGCCATTGTGGGGGCCCAGGGCAGGCCACCCCCAAATATCCCACAGTGGCATATTGATTATTTTGAATTAAAGTTACCAGAGAAGCAAAAAGGGCACTCTGACCCTCCTGTCACAGGAAATACATCTCCCGTGTGACAGGTGCTCTCCTGGCATCCTTATCCCCAGGGCTTGGGGATTCAGGGCCGAGAAGCTGCATAAGCAAACCCTGCTCATTCACTGCCTCCAGCCTAAACTCTGCTTAAGGTCCTCATTAACCACGTACCTCAAATCTAAGATTCTTTGTCCTGTCGATTCTTCACAAATTTATTCTTATTTTGTATAAAAGAGATATACACTGCCTGCTTCCTTTACTCTCTGAGCATCATTTCTCTATGGTCCCCAATACGTACATATTAAACTGGGTTTTTCTCCTGTTAAGCTGGTCTTGTGTCAGTTTCATTATTAGTCCAGCCATAAGAACACAAGAAGGAAAGCAAGGGGGTTCTCCCCCGCCCCCGACAGTACCGCCGACTTGCCCTCTAAAGAGGACGCGCCAATCGATGACCCCATGAACAAGGGACAAAACTTTCCTTTACCCACACACCAGCCAATACTGCCACCAAACTCATTAGTCTTTGACTACCTGACAGGTGAAAATGGCTTTTCATTGCTATTCTTGTTGCATTTCTTTGAGCGAGGCTGAGCACCTTTTTCATATTTGCTATTTAATTTCCTTTCTTTCTTTTCTTTTTCTGTAAGCAATCTAGTGGTTCAAACTACGAAGGTCCAAATCCTGGTTTTTCTGCAGACTAGCTGTGTGACCCTGGGCCACTTACTTGAATTCGTTGTGCCTCAGTCTCCTCTCTTAAAATGGGAGTAACCACCCACACTATGCCGCAGGGTTATCCTGAGAACTGAACAGCCTGACAGCAGCAAAGTGCTTAGAACGGAGCCCGGCCCAGGGAAAGCGGGCACGACGGAGCCGTAGCTCACGTTACCCACGTCTGTCGCCCATGTTTCTGTCGCGTGGTTCATCTTTCTTACGGATTCCTCTGCTCAGGAGAGTAGTCTGTTGGTTGTCATATATGTTGCTTCCTTGTCTTTCATCATTTGACTTTTTTTTAAAGTATTACATTCCACGCAGAAATGTAAAATGGCTTTTGTTGCAATTATAAGCATTCAAATTCCAAGATCATGAAAATACATCACGCCTTTTTTCTTCTTTAGGAATTGGAGGACGTGTTTTCGGGGACGGACACTGAGTGATGGTTGTGCAAGTGTAGCAGGGAGCCAGAAAGAGTGTCATCCCCCTCTCAGGAGAGCAGCAACCTGTTCTGTCCATGAGGCCTGCAGGACGCGGGGTCCAGCAGGGTTAGGGAGGCCTTGCCGGGCTGAGGACCCGGCTGCTTGTTTATTCAGAGCTGGGTCAGAGGGCGCAGGGGAAGGGAGTGGGAGGAGGAGTGAGTGTGTACTTGGTGTGTGTGTGTGTGTCACAGAACGCTGTGGGGATGGGAGTGAGACCTTGGGCTAGGCAAGGGCTTTGTGGGATTAACTCGTCTCAAGATTCTGCCCAGAATCTCCCAGGGGATCTCTGTAAGGCCAGCAGAGCACGGGCTGGGGGGTGGGAGACTGAGTTTAAAGACCCACTGGACTGTGCACGCTTGCGGGGCAGGAACTTGACCCTGGGCCTCTTGCTGCTGACAGCTCCTCGTGAAGACTTCCAGGGGGTGTTTCTGTGCGCGGCCTGGCACCGAGTGGGCTCAGGGCGCTGGCCTGTGAATGGAGAGACAGGAGGAGGTTGGCAAGGGCTAGAGCGGCCAGGAATGCTTCCGGGAGGGGATGAAAGAGCGAGGGGCGGATACTGGACAGGCCCTGGAATGGGGAAATGTTGCTCACAGAGAGGCTGAGCCCTGGGCCTGGAAAGCCAAAGACTTTCTCTCCTTTGAAATGTCCTCCCAGCTCCCTCCAACCAAGAAACCCGGGATTTCATGTCTGGTGAAGAAACCACGGTCCAGGGAAGGACAATGACCTGTCCAGGGCCATAAGACAGGTCACCTGCACCCTGCCAAAGATTTCTCAGGCCAGGCTCTAGAGGAGAAGGGGAGGGGTAGGAGGAACTCCTGCTGTGGGTGCAGCATAGCAGACCCTGTGGGGGGCTGCAGGTGGGAGGGGCCAGCAGCAAAACGTGGAGTTGGGGGTGGAGGAGCAGGGGGCTGGGGTGGGAGGTTCTGTAGTGGGAAAGAGTTGAGGATGAGCCCTAAGGGGTAGAGAGAGAGTGTGTGTGAGATGTGGTGTGCATGTGTGTGTGTATCCGTGCATGTGAGCGAGATGGTGTGTGTGTCTATGTAACGTAGTGTGTGTGCATGTATGTGAGTGATGTGGTTGTATGTGTGTGTGTATAAACGTGTACATGTGTGTGAAAATTAAACAGTGGGTCTCTTTGGCTTGCTTAGGGCTAGGGGTGGGGGAGGAGTGGGACCCCCATGACTGTGAATATCACAGGGCCAGGCAATCTTTATGCTCGTCAAGCTACAACTGAGAATTCCAGGTTAACTCTCCCCATCCCCTTCTCTCTCACACCTGCACCCGCGTGCCCCCCCACCCCCTGGCAGCAGACACCACTGAAGGTCTCCTCGGGCATCCTTCCGCCTCTGGCCTGAGATGTCCTGACACCCCCATGGAGGAGAGGGCCAGGAGGGCCCGAGCCTCCACGGAGAGCATGAGAAGGGGCCGCTGCACGTAGCAGCCTCCCAGCTCCGGAAAGCCTTCTGAGGTGAAGTCCAGGAAGGGCATTCCATTCGCACCCTGCTCCACCTGGGCCCCCAACAACCTGGCCAACTCATTGGGCGGGGCTGGAGGTGGGCTAAAGGTGACAACAGGCCTGTCAGCTCTCTTTTCCAAAGCCTCCTCAGGCTGCCCCTCTATCAAGCTGGGTCTGGGGAGCTGGGGCAGGGCCGTGCAGAGGGTGTGGCACGTGTGGCTGGAGGCTCCTAGGAAGTGAGGCCGGCACTTAGCTGTCTCCATCACGTGTTCCTGTCCCAGCACAATGTTGATCCCCCTCTTAGGCTGGGCTTGAATCCAGTGGGGACTGATGGTGGTGGCTTCAGGTGGGGGAGGTGGTGAGAGCCGGGAACCTTTCAAGAGGAAACAGCAGGGGTGGGGGGATGGGAGCAGCGTTTGCGTGCAAATGCAAGCACACGCACAGACAAGCACACAAAGAGTGCATCCACAGACTTCTCCCCTGAACACAAGCACGTTCACAGCCACGCACACAGTGTATGTCTAGGGTGTGCACACGGTGAAGCCCAGTGGCTTGCAAGTGTGTGCACACAGAAGTGTACAGACATCCACAAAGTTTCCCAAATACACACAGGTGTCCTCTTCCTCTACAGGGACAAAGAATAAGAGGAAAAGAATGTGATAAGGGGGTGGGGGAAGTGCAGGCCCAGGGTAACCATTCCTATGGGGCCTCTGGGCCTCAGATGCCTATTGGAGCAGGCAGGAAAGTGGCGACAAGTGGGGTCATGCGTCATGCAGCCTAGTTTCTATATGGGAATTAGGTGCAGGGGCATGTGGCCAGGGAAACCAGCTAGGCCAGGCCCACCCTAGGGTCAGATTTCTCAAGAACTGAGCCGAACTCTCAAGGAGGAGCTGTACTTGAGGGGAGGCAGAGTATGCCTTTCTAACTTTCAGTAGCCCGGGGAGGGAGGCTGGGCTGACTCCTGGACTAGAACTTTTTGTCCACCTCTTCCCCCAGGCTTTTACCGCTTGATCTCTGCTCCGGCCTCGGGAATCTGGATATTCTTCACCCCTTCCCCAAGCCCCTCCAGGAAGCCTTCCCTGACAGCCCATTTCCCATCGCCCGGGACCGCTGTCTCCCACCGCGCCCTGTGTCCGCCTGCATCAGCTCGTCTGGGGGACTACGTTCTCCTCCTAACTCTGGACGGTTCCGGCTTGGACCGCAAGCATGGGCCTCGGCGGGGTGGGCGGTGTGGAGGGCGGAAGCGCGGCCTCGGGGGGAGGGGCGGGCGGGCAGAGAAAGGTGGCCGGCGGCCAGCCCCGCCCCTACCTGTGCAAGCCGATCCGCCCGCGCCTAGCGGATAAAAGCGGCGGAGTCTCCCGGGGTCAGCGAGTTCCGTCCCTCTCGCCCGCCGCCAGGTGCAGCTGATCCGGCCAGCATGTCCGTCCACTTCAGCTCCCAAGTCTTCAGCTCGCGCTCCGCCGCCTTCCCGGGGCGCGGCGCTCAGATGCGCCCGAGCTCCGTGCGCCCCGGCGCCTTCGGCAGCAGCAGCCTCTACGGCCTGGGCACCTCGCGGCCGCGCGTGGCCGTGCGCTCCGCCTACCCGGGCCCAGCGGGCGCCGGCATCCGCGAGGTCACCATCAATCAGAACCTGCTGGCCCCGCTGCACGTGGACATCGACCCCTCCATCCAGCAGGTGCGCCAGGAGGAGCGTGAGCAGATCAAGACCCTCAACGACAAGTTCGCCTCCTTCATCGACAAGGTGAGCCGGCCAGCGCCCTGCCCCGAGCCCCGCTCCAGGCCACAGCAGCCGCCCCAGACCTGGCTGCACGCGGGCGGGCGCTGGGAGCACCCGTGCGTTCTCTCTTCCTGGGAACCTTCCCCCTCTCCATGAACCCTGTGGCTCTTTTGTCCCCCTCAGTCTCCGAGCCCTGTCTTCCAACAAGCTGCCCAGATTGCCCCGCTTTTTCCTCCCAGAATGTGTGCCTGGGTCTGTCCGGCTGCCCCTGCTGGCTGAGTCTGTGAGGCGGCTTCACGGGTATTTGGCTGGGAGCTCCAGAGCTGAAGGAGGCCCCTTTCTCTGAGAGGGGGCTGTTGGAGTCAGAGAAGGGGGAGCAGCGACCTGCCCTTCCCAGCTGAGGCGCCCCGCCCTCCCCGCTCAGATTCTACCTACATTTAGGCAAATACTGGAAATAAAAGGCTGGAGGGAGGGTGGAGGGGGGCTCCCTGCCACACTACCCCCCAACCTGGTCCTCTTTGGTGACAGGGGGAGGTTATGCCTGGAACTAAGGGCTAGCCCATCCGGCCCGGCTGGCCAGGGCCTCCTCCTGCCAGTATAGACCAGGCCTCCCCTCTCCTGCCGTTGTGTCCCTCTCTGCTTCCTGGCCCACATCCTCCTCTCCACTGTTCAGACCGGGCGGGGCGTCCTTCCCAGGCCCATGCCCCCCCCCTGCTGTGGAGCTGCTCTCTCCTGCTGCCCCCACGGCCTGCTGCCCTGAGTTGCTGGTTTTGAGGAGGCTGGCTTCCCACCCCCATCATCCTGGGTGCTCCCTGGGGTCCCTTCGGGGCACAGGGCTGAGCACAGAATAGGTGCTCATTTTACGTGGACTTGGTTGTCGCACCCTGTCCAGAGGCCCGTTGGAGAAAGGGGAGAGAAGATACTGAAAGAGGATGAGAGGAGGTCCCAACCTGAAGGGAGAGGCTGAGTCAGGCCCAGGATACAGACCTGGGGGGGCGGGGCAGCCCTTCAGAGAGGGAGGTGGGGCAGTCACCTGCGATGGATGGAAAACACAGGAGGGAGGAGGTCCTAGCACAAGCACTGCATAGTCGGCTCACACTCTAAACACTTGAGATAGAGAGTCGTGGAGGAAAGGCTTGTTCATGGTGGGCTTCCTGGAGGAGAGGGCCATGGGTTGGAGGCCCAGGTTGGGAGAACAGCCAGTGGGAGCATGGGCTCCGCTGGGTGCCTGGAGACCCTCCCAACCCTGCTGTGACTGGCATGGTCTGTACCTTGTGACTTTCCTCCTCCATTTTTCCCTTCCAGGTGCGGTTCCTGGAGCAGCAGAACAAGCTGCTGGAGACCAAGTGGGCGCTGCTGCAGGAGCAGAAGTCGGCCAAGAGCAGCTGTGTCCCGGGCATCTTTGAGGCCCAGATTGCTGGCCTGCGGAAGCAGCTTGAGGGGCTTCAGATGGACGGGGGCCGCCTGGAGGTGGAGCTGCGGGGTGTGCAGGACCTGGTGGAAGACTTCAAGAATAAGTACTGTCCCCAGTGCGCCCTGCGGGCCCCTCGCCCTGGGCCAGCGTGCCCCTCCGCAGCCCCCTCTCTGCAAGTGCCCCTTAGGGTCACAACATTGACTCCGTGAAGGGAAGGTCTCGACCAGCACATTCCCTGTCTCTCCTCCTCTTGTGTACCCGGGGGCTGTTTTTAAGTCATTCTGGTCTTTTCTCCTGGCTTCCTCCCCGTGAAATATCTCCGCCCGGCCCTGACCTGCACTGTTCCCTTTGGGTGCCTGATCAAGGCCCCAAGAGAGCGTAGGGCAGAAGGTGTCCTATGAGAGATGTGCTTCAGAACTTGCACGACCCTCACAGATTATTCTAGAACAACTCCGTTTTGTTCAGAGGAGGAATTATTCAGAGAGGTTCAGGGACTTGGTGGAGATCACGCAGCAGATCCCTGGGAGAGCTGGCACTTGAATTTTGGGCCCTGACATCCGGGAGGCGACGTGGAGCTGACTTAGGTCGGGGGAAGCAAGGAAGGAGAAGGATCCTTGTGAGCCATGGGAGCGGTGGCCGAGGCTGAGGGGGGTCTGGTCAGGGCAGGAGCCAGAAAGGAGGCTGTGAGGGAGAGCAGGGGGTGCAGGGGCCGGGAGGACTTTGAGGTGCCTGCTGAGCTCTTTTCTCATTGAATAGAAACCAAAGCCTGAGGCTTGGGCCGGCCCCAGCCTGGCGTCCCTGCTTGCTCGGTGGACACGGGGCCAGCGAGTGAATTCTGTGCTCTGCCTGGGGCTGCATGACTCAGCCGGAGCAGGGACACTGGCTCTCACTGGAGGAGGAGCAAAGGTGTCTGTGGAGGGTGCCCACCCCCTCCTTCCCTAGGGCAGCAGCAAATGGGATGAACCCCAGCAGGTGGAAGCAGGCAGGTGCAGGGCGGGGAAGGCCTGGGCCAGCCGGCGAATCCCTGTTGTCACGTTCACTTGCCTGTATGTGAGCACATGCTCCCCCACCGCAGAGCCCACAGAGTACTTTCCCTTGGAGCCAGGCTGAGCTCTGGGCTGGAAGGGGCATGGGGAGGAGCCCTGGGTGCAGCTGCCCAGAGAGCTCCCACCTGTGCTCTCTCTGAGCCCAGCGGCACCGCCCGGGCAGGGTGGAATGATGAAGGTATTTCCACACTATTCCGTAGGACCTGGGGGAGTGGGACTTTGGGAGTCTGGGCTCTGGCAGGGGCTCTGCCTGGAGCATCCTGCTCCCCACTGTAGTCGCCCCATGTGGCCCCTGCTGGTCTCCAGCAGCTTTTGGGCACTGCTGAGTTCCTGTTTCCAATACCTTTTTTAAAAAAGTCCTCAAATAAATACTGGGTGAGGCCCAGGTGCTCTCTTGCTCCGTGTCCTGCGTCCTCCTCTGGGTGGGACTGGCTCCTTGGGAGAAAGAGCGATGAGGGGCACTGTGGGATAGGGAAGGGGCTAGACCACCTAGTTGGGGCCTGGTTCTTCCAGGACTTTGGGGATCCCCCTTCCCGACTCCACGAGGGTCCTCCCTTCAGGCCCCGTCTTCACCCTCAGGGCGTGGGATTAGGTCTCGGTTAAGACACAGGCCTGAGTCAGACGGCCAGGGTTCACGTCTGGGCTTTGCCACTTAGCAGCTTAGTGGCTGCACAGATCTCCCTGCCTCTCTGCCTCCGTTCCCTCCCCTGGGAATCCCAGTGCCATTGTGTGGTGACGGGCTTGTTGTGAGGATGAAATGACCAGCTCACCGGAAGCGCGTGCAGGGCAGGCCCCACGCGAAGCGGTCCATGAACATGGTCACTATTATTTGCTTTCTTGCTCCCAGTATATGCAGTCTTTGTCCTTTAATTCACACGGTCCCTGCTCCCCCACCCCCACCCAACGCCAAGACTCAAAAGCCTTGGGAAGAGCCACATGGAGAAGTCGGGGCTAGTTGCTTTCCCAGCTGACACCTGTTTTTTCAGGTGTGTCGTTAAGGAGGGGGTGAAGGCGATGCAGGGCAGATTTTCACACCTGCACAGGAGGGGGGCTGGAGGCCAAGTTGCCTGAGCACCACGCCCCCTCCTCTGCTGCAGGTATGAAGATGAAATTAACCGTCGCACGGCTGCTGAGAATGAGTTCGTGGTGCTGAAAAAGGTGAGGGGGCCTGACAGGCGGGGTGAGGACGTTGTCTGAAAACTCATGGGATGGGACCACGTGGCTCTCCAGCCTGAGCAGCCAGTAGGGGCCTGTGGCCAAGGTCTGACCTGGGGACTACAAGAAGGGAGCAATGGGCTTGGAGAGGAGCGGTCTGGAGGCCAGGCCCGTATAGCACTGCCTGTCTTGTGTGTGTATGTGTGTGCATGTGTGAGTGTGCATTTGTGTGTGTGTCTGGTGAGTCACTGGACTTGTTTCTGGGCCTGGAGGGGTTAGAATTAAGACCAAAGGATGGAGGTTAGAAAAGGAGATTTCAACCCTGAATAACGAAATGCTCTATCACAATCAGAACATGTCATTACAAACAAAGGTGGCAAATCGCAGACCTGAAATATGTACTGAGTGAAGGGGACAGGTGGCCTTGAGGCAGAGTGAGCTCCCGGTCCCTGGAGATGTGCAAGCCGAGGTTGGAAGGCCTTAGGAAGATCTTAGAGGGGCTTGACTTAAGATTCTGATTCAGCGCACACTCACTGAGCAGCTCAGTGTTCTGGGCCCATCGCATGAACACAACACGGCCCGAGGGCTGGGAGGAGGAAAGAGGCCCTGTGTACAGGAGTTTATCCACAGGAAAGCGTGGCCAGAAGGGGCCCGAGCATCTTCCGGACCTGCGGGGTCAGCCGCGGCCCGCCTGTCGCAGAGTCACCCATGCTGCAAGTTGAACATTTAGGCTTGAGGTGTCCCATCTCTGGGAGCGGCGTCCTGGAGTCTGATGGTTCTGTGCTCTCCTGATTGAGGCTCACTGAGTTGATTTGTTCAAGGTCACATAGCTAGTAGGTGGCAGAGTGAGGGGTGTGTCCAAAACACCAAAGCCTTTAGGAACTGGTAAAGTGCTAGGTTTGGGGCTTCAGGCTGCTCCGGGCTCTGGTCCTGAGGATGCAGGGAGACGGTGTCCACCACGCAGCCTGGGAGGGTCCAGTGGAGGGAACTTCCTGCCTTCAGCATGCCAGGCAGCCTGGAGAAACTGTGTGCTTCTTGGTAGGGCAGTGGTGTTTGGCTCTGTGGGTCTGACAGTGCTGGCTTGCTCTCACCCCTGCTAAATGTTCCATGTACTGAGGGCATGGTGTCCCTCTCTTCTTTCTCACCATCCCCCCCCCCCCAGGACGTGGACGCCGCCTACATGAACAAGGTGGAGCTGGAGGCCAAGGTGGACGCCCTGAATGATGAGATCAACTTCTTCAAGACTCTCAGTGAGATGGTGAGGACTTGGGGGGTGGGAGACACGTCACGTCCTACGTGTCCTAACCAGGGGGCCACCTGGTCCAGCCCCTGCATTGGGCCGGTCTGGGTGTGTGTTGGGTATGTGTGTGTGGGCATTTTTCCAGCTCTTTATCCTTCCTGGACTCTGCAATCCATGATGGGCAAGGAATTCAGGAGGAGCTGGGGGCAGCAGAGCAGGGTGGGGTTGGTCAGGATCGCCTTCCAGAGACGTGGGATGACCATTTGTCAGGAAGGAGGACGGAGAGGGGCTGAAAGGAACCAGGAGGAGGTTGAGGGGTCCTTGGCCGTGACAGAGTTCAAAGGCGAGCTGGATGAGGCGGGCAAGGGCAGCCCAAGGCGGGAGAGACTGGAGTGCCCAAGAGTTTACACCCAGAGGGACTGGCTGGGTGGCTGCCCCTCCCATCCCCTTCTGTCTGCCCCTCTCCTCTGGCCCTGCCCTGGGCTTCCAGCTCTTTTCTCTCATGGCGATTTAAAAACCTCTTTGCTCCCATCAGTGTGAGTCTCTGGCTGTAGGAAAAGATCTGGTGGCCAGTCCTCTGGCGGGGCTGGTCTGGGATATAAGCACATGTGAGGCTAATGACAGGACAGGTCTCAGATCTCTCCAGTCCAGTCTTTGCCTGAATATCCAGCCTCTGTGAGCCCCTGGAGTGAACTTCCACGTGTGTGAACTTCAGGGGCTGGATCCTTGAGGCTGACTTCTGGCTCTTCTAATCTCACTGCAGGTCTCCATAGGTCTCTCACATGGTGTATATACATGTATGTATATGTACATATGTGTATGTGTATATATAAAATTATTTTCCTCTCATTATGAAAGCAATACCTACTCATTGCAAAAAATCCGGAAAATTAAGTAAAGCATAAAATTGAAACAGACCACCTATACCTGCTCTTACCATCTTAGCATCTACTTTTTCGGACTTCTTCTGTGCATATATACACATGGAGATATAGAAATGTATATTTTAATAAAAATAGAATCATACCTTTTTTCATGTAGCATATGCCGTGGATATATTTCCCTGTGTGTAAATACAGCCGTATCACCACTTTCCAAGGCTCCAGAGTTTTCCGCTTGAGGGTGGAGTATGGCTTACTTTGCCCACTCCCTGTTGACCCCCTTCACAACAGAGCTCATGCTTCAAGAGCCCCTCGCAGCTAGGAGCCTTCATAGTTCCCCACATTCTGTCACTTCTTCATCTGCTGTGACCCCACCAGGCTCTTTTATATGGGAAGTTACTGATGGGCTCCTGGGGGACCGGGGGGGCAGAGCTGTTCAGCAGGTGTGGGGTCTGTGCCCCTCTCTCCCAGGAGACTCAGGCCCACCCCGGCCTCTTCCCTAGTTTTCTTTCCCCCGCGTGTGGGGGATCCCAGGGTGGGTGTGGGAACGGGGGTGGGTCAGGCCCCAAGTCCTGACGTTCTTCCTGGTCGCTGTAGGAGTTGACAGAGCTGCAGTCCCAGATCTCGGACACGTCCGTGGTCCTCTCCATGGACAACAACCGCTCTCTGGACCTGGACGGCATCATCGCCGAGGTGCGCGCCCAGTACGAGGACATCGCCAACCGCAGCCGGGCCGAGGCTGAGGCCTGGTACCAGACCAAGGTGCGTGGCCTCTGGGGCACATTTTCTCTTCCTGGCAGGGTCCTGGGTGGCAGCTTCCCTTCCTCCTTCCCCTGTCTCAAGCCTTGAGGCCTGGGCCCCACTGTCCCGGCAGGTACCCATGGTTAAGTCTGTGGTGCTCTCCAGCGTCCTGGGAAGAAGAGGATGTGAAGGCTAGGTCTCTGCCCAGATGGAGGGACAGGGCGGAGGAAATGGACGTGGATTAAAAATTATAATAGCTAAAGTTTGACAACTCCTCCGTGCCAAGCAAAATGTCTCATGTTTTACCTGCGTTGACTCGTTTACCCCATAGAACAACGCCATTACGTAGGCACTATTATTATCCCCATTTTATAGATGTGGAAACTGAGGCACAGAGAAGTTCATTTGCCTAACTCCACACAGCTAGGAGATGGAAGAGCAGGGACTAGATCCTGGGTCCTGGGTCTCCAGACCAGGTGGGTTTCGTCACGGCACGTGCTGTGTGGAGGCAGGAGAGCTGACCGTGCAAGTGCTGAGGGAATGGGCGGGGGGTGCTGCGGTAAGCCAGTGTTCTCGGGGAGGGAGCCTGAGGCAGGGTTTAAAAGCAGCTAGAGCAGATATCCACAGAGATAGTGAGTCATCCACAGTGCCTGGGTGAGGGCACAGCTATGCCAGCAAGGAGACCTGGCTCAGACTTGCTGTGTGATCCTCGGGCAGTGCCTTCCATCCTCGGGACTCACTCTCCTCATCTGTGAAATGGTGGTGCTGACGTTTTTAACAGGTGTATTTTTAACATGGGGTGGGGGGCGTGGTTTAACAGGTGAGGATCTCAGACATCTGGTGATTGTCCGTGTGGTTGGACATGAGGGGAATGGGAAGAGCCCCAGGAACAATGGAGCTGGGCCCCGGGAAGCCCGCTTTGTCCTCCCTGTTCTGGATGGGAGGAAAGGGAACCCCTGCGGAATCCCCCTGCCCAGCAGTCGGGCCTCCTGGCACAGGATGAAGATTGCTGGGAGTCAGACAGTCGCTCCCGGGGAAGATAAGCCAGGAGGGCTTATCACGCGGAGCCTGGGGCCTCCCTTGGATGGGGAGAGGGACGAGTCACCTATCCTCATTGCCCGCCCCCGCTGTATGGCCCCTCCAGTTTGAGACCCTCCAGGCCCAGGCTGGGAAGCACGGGGACGACCTCCGGAACACCCGGAACGAGATCGCCGAGATGAGCCGGGCCGTCCAGAGGCTGCAGGCAGAGATCGACAACACCAAGAACCAGGTGGGGACAAGCCCTCCTTGTTCCTCTCTGTGTCTTGGGACGTGTGAAGGGCAGCCAGCTGAGGATGAGGAGCAGGAGGCTGGGGCGAGGGTATACGTTCTGCGGGTGCAGAAGGCTGGTGCCGCTCAAGTCTCTCGGGCCCACTCGTGAGATCTCCAAGATAGAATGTTCTTGGCCAGGTCCTGGCTCAGGCCCAAGGGAGGACAGGAGTCCTAGCTGGGCACAGAGCCTGTGGAGGGAGCCTCGGGCTGGCTGGCCAGAGAAGAACCGCCATTTATTATCAGATGGGTACTGAGCACTCTCCTGTACCTAGCTCGGGGCGCAGTGTGCTGTACCTGGGGGCTCACACTCCGTGGGGAGCTGGGGGGCAGAGGCCAGCAGAAACCCTCACTGTGGCTCACAAGGCCCCGTCCCATGCTCTGACCTCACTTCCCAGCCCTCCCTCTGTCGCTGTCTCCAGCCGCACCAGACTGCTTCGTGGGACTTGCATTTGCTGAGCGTGTTCATGCTTCAGGGCCTTTGCACGCGCGTGGTATTCCCTCTGCCTGGAATGTGGTTCTCCCAGCTCTGCATATGGCTACCCCTTTCGCATACATGGGCTTTGGGACAAAAGACCCCTTCCCAGAGATGGCTTCCTCAACCACCCAGCCACTCTCTCAGCAGTCTGTCTGAAGTTCCCTGAAGCACCGATCACTGTTTGAAATTTTCTGCTGTATTAACTGAGTTGTTGGCTGTACTCCACCTGCACTTGGAATAGAAAAAAATGCCTTGAGAGCAGGGACCCTGTCTGGTCTGTCTGGTTCGCTGCTCCTCCCTTTCCAGCACCTGGCACGTGCTAGGGACACAGGTCTCAGATGAGACATTGAGGGGAGGATGTGCTGTGAAGCTGGTGTGGGGGGTGTTGATGAGGGAAGGGTCCCTTGGCCAAGGCATGGGGGTGGACGGGGCAGCTGAGCCTGGGCAGGTGTCTGCAGTGGGGAGGGAGAGGAGGTGACCAGTGTGGCAGGTTCACAGAGCTGATTTCCAGATGAGCTGCGGGGAGGGGATGTGGAGGTGATTTACCAGAAATGTCCTCCCCTTGGAGCCCTGCAGGCCTGTTTACCTGAGGTCGGAGGCGGCCTCCTGGCCCAGATGCAGGGCCATGAATCACCGGCGAAGCCTGGAGCCAGCTTCCAGGCCGGGAGGGGAGGCACAGAATAATGAATGGCGGCTTCCCAAATCCTGCAGCTTCTGCCACATCTGGTTCTCCTTTCACCCAGCAGCGCAGAGCCAGGCCCCAGAGTTGGGGTGTCTACCACCGTTGAGGGGCCCAGAAGCAGTGGGATGGCCCTGGCCAAGGGGGCACCAGTGTGACCGGGAAGGGTACAGGCAGGGAAGGGGCAGAGAGCATGACAGGGCCTCCTGGCATGACTGGAAGGACTGGGCAGAGGGGCAGAGTGGGAGAGGATCGAGGGCAGAGGAGGGTGGGTGAGAAGGAAGGAGGGGAAGCAGTGGGCCATGGGATGGGGATGGCAGCCCTCTGAGCTGAACAAGGGGAGGCCCGGGCTCCTGGTGGTGGGGGATGAACAGAGGGATGCTGCAGCTGGGCAGGAAGTGGCAGCTGCTGTTCAGGTCCATTGTGAATCGACCGCTCTGGCCCAAACCGGGGCGCCGTTGATTGTGCATTTTGGGTTTGGATGTTCCAAGCAGCGTCTCTCCTCTGAGTCCCCCTGTTCTGGGCTCGTTCCAAACTGCTCCCTGTTTTGAAGGTGGCTTTTGGTTCTTGTCAGCTGCCTGAGATCTGGGGACTCAACTAGGATCTTTTGGCCCTGGAGCTCCTGCGGCTGGGGAGTGGGGGGCTGCGCATTTGTAAATCATAAAAGCATTTATTAATAAGAGTGATCATGATGGCGTTTAAGCACTTCCTGTATGCTGGACACTGTGCCAAGGACTTGCATATTTCCTCATTTAATCCTTGCAGTATCCCTGTGAGGTAGACACTGATTATTGCTGTTTCAGAAAAGAGGACGTTTTGACTTAGAAGGGTTAGATCGGTCCGAGGTCACATAGCTAGTAAGTGGTAGAGACTGAACTGGAACCTAGGCATCAAGGAGCAAACCCATGTTTTTAACCCTTGGGCTTCCTGGAGCTTGGGGAGTAGGCTGTTGCCACTGAAGCCACTGTAAACAGGTTGCCCAGGTGCTCCCTGCAGGATGGGGAGGCAGGAAGGCAGTGACCGGTGAGGCCTGCCCCTGGCTCACAGCTCCACCACTGCCCACAGCGTGCCAAGCTGGAGGCTGCCATTGCCGAGGCTGAGGAGCGTGGAGAGCTGGCCCTCAAGGATGCACACGCCAAGCAGGAGGAGCTGGAGGCCGCCCTGCAGCGTGCCAAGCAGGACATGGCCGGGCAGCTCCGGAAGTACCAGGAGCTCCTGAACGTCAAGCTGGCCCTGGACGTCGAGATCGCCACCTACCGCAAGCTGCTGGAGGGCGAGGAGAGCCGGTGAGGACACGGAGGCCGGGAAGGAGATCCTTCTGGGGCTCAGGGGGGTCTGGGACTTGACATTCACCCACCCACAGCCTTTCCTGTGTACCCTCTTCTGCAGGGACCGGAGGGTGGGAAATGCAGGGAGGGTACCACTGATGCTTGCTTCCTTGCCCTTGACGAGATGACGTTTTGGAGGGAAAGACCATGTGGCATAAAGCTCAGTGGGAAAGTTGAAGTAATAACAGCCCCTTCATGTGTGTGGCCATTAGCAGGGTCATCATTTGATCCTCAGAACACATTCAGGTAAGCAGGTCAGGTGCTGTCTATTCCCTAGTTTACAGAGGGGACACCGTGGTTCATTTTATTAATTGAGGAGACAGGGCCAGTGTGCAGTCATGCCCTGCTGCTCCTGGTCCAAGCATCTTCCACGAGCCGGGCTGCTTCTTGCTACGTAGCTGAGTGCTAAGTCGAGTGGTATTGCCAGAATGTGGTAGAGGAGGTTAATTTCCCCCTGTCCCCACAGATATTCGCATACTCACCTGCAGTTGGAGAGGAGGCTGGGCAGGGTCCTTACAGGGAATTCTTCCTGAGAGACTGGCACTCTGTCTGTGGGGGCAGGCCTTCAGTCTTACCTTGATGGGTGGTTGGTTCATTCAGTCAACAAACAAGGCTTCTGAGTTGAGCCTTGGGAGAAGGTTAGGATTTGAGGAGGGCAAGCGGGAACAGCGTGGACGCAGGCTTGGAAGTAGGCCTCCTCATGGCTTGGCCTGTTAGAACCCAACACGGAGATGGATGATGTGTAAGACACGATTCTGCCCTCAGGGAGCTTGCAGAGGGGTTGAGATGTGCAGATCTGCAGAGGAGGCCCTGGAGATCAGTCACCTGCCTTCGGGAAATGCTGAGCTTACGGAGGGAGTCCTCAAAGGAAGCGGGGAACGAGGGAGTGCTGGAAGCAGAGTGCCTGGACGCTGGGGGCAAGGAGGGAAGAAGCGCGGCAGCAGGATCTGAGAGGGGGAAGGAGGAGGAAGGGTCTCTGCCCCTGCAGTTGACCTGTCCCCTACCTGGGTGGCACCCAGTCTTTGTGGGAAGAGGAATTGAACATCAGAGGCCTCTGGGAAGAGAGAGCAGCTGAGCTGGGGCACGGGGCCGCCCCAGAACCCAACTGTCGCAGCCAGTTGGAGGAGGGCTTTTCCCTCCACCACAGGTGCACGGGGCCCACTTTCTTGGAAATGTGTGCCCTCTCTTCCTCATAGAATCAGAGCCGAGGGACCCTTAGAGTGGGGCCTGATCCACTTCCTCCCATGGGCAGATGAGGGGGCTGAAGGTCAGGGATGCCAAGTGGCGTGCCCACGGTTACACCGCAATCGAGACATTCCCTCTGAAAGTCTAATCTCGGTCCAGGTTGCTGTCGTTGGGGCTCAGATCCTGGTTCTCTGAGAGGAGACCATCCTATCCACCCCTCTGGGGGACACGGGGAGGGACACCTTGTTTATATCCCTTAACCCCTCAGCCTGTCCCAGGGGCAGGTCTAGGATCTGTGGTCTTAGAAACTCACGCAACTGGGGGACCTTCTGTTAAGAATGCAAAGTTACGAATAGGAAATTAGGCACAAAGCAAATATTTATTTAGGATGAGAAAAGAAAAATCACACAAATCACTAGGGCCTTAGACATGTCAGATCTCTTCCTGCTGAGTTCTTTAGTCATTGTCACAGAAATTCTCATATGGAATTGCTGTCTGATTGCAACCTGACTTCCCTTCCCCACCCACAACTGCCAGCACCTCCCAGCACTTGCCGGGGTCATTTGAACAAGGGGCCGCCAAGCTTCCTAGCATACTCATCTCCTGCCCTTGGCCTTTGCTCCCCCCCTGTCCTGGACTTGGGGCTGCTGAGGCCAGCTGGGCTCCCCTCCCTCCCTCCACCAAAGTGAGGTCTCCCCTCCCCCCCGCAGAGTAAACTCTTCCCCAAGGCCAAGGGCTTGGTGACAATGGGTCTGTGAGTCACAAAACAAATACACCCAGCTGTCTCAGATGGATTTTTAATTTCTAGTGCAAGACCTGTTTCAGCCCCACAGGCGGCTTAAAGCCACCCGCTTCCTCCCCCTCCCTCCTCAGTCCCGGAGCTGCATTCACTCAGTCAACAATGCATTAATTATTTCAACGCACATTAAGTAATTACTACCTGCCAGACCTCATGCTAGGGGCTGGGGATACAGGAACCCGTAAGCTACAGCCCACTTTGAGGATTTTATGATCTGGTTTAGGGAGGCAGCCGTCTACAGAAATAATAAGAGTGGCTACCGTTTATCGAATCCTGTGTGCCCAGGGCTTCAGGCAAATCATGTGATTGAACCCTCACAAACGCCCCTGTGAGGTTGGTGCTGAGTTAGTCCCATTTGTAGGGGAGGAAATGGAGGCCCTGGGACGTTGCCCAAGGTCATGTAACCTGTAGGTGGGAGGGCCTAAGTGCCCCCCCCTCCAGAAGTGTGGGGACGGAGGGAGGAACACCAATCCTGCTTGGCACCGAGGGAAGAGCTGCTCTCACAGGTCTTTCCTCTGCCTCCAGGTTGGCCGGAGATGGAGTGGGAGCCGTGAACATCTGTAAGTCCTTGGCTGCGGCCCAGCCCCTGTGCTTGTCCAGACTGGGCTGGGTCCATAGGATGCCCCATTGGCTGGAGGGCCCACCTTGTGGGGACCAGGAGCCTCTTTCCCTTTCAGCAGCTGCCCTGGAGCTCCCATCCAGCCAGGCTCAATGGCCCAGGAAAGCTGTGCAAGAGGGCAGGGTGGGGCAGGGGGCATGCGTGGAGCAGGGGCTTCTGGGCTGGCCCATGGCGGGGTGGTGGGAAGGGGAGGTGGGGGTGGGTAGGGAGAGGGGCAGCTATGGCAGGAGGGTGGGGTGGAGTGAAGGGATGGGGCCTTGGGTGGGGCCTCGTGCTGACGGAGCCCCCCCCTTCTCTTCTAGCTGTGGTGAATTCTTCTGGCGGCGCTGGCAGCGGGCTGGCCTTCGGGGGAACCATGGGCAGCAATGCCCTGAGCTTCTACAGCGGTGGGGGACCGGGGGTCCTCAAAGCCTATTCCATTGGGACCACATCTGCCAACCGCAGGAGCACCCGCAACTGAGCCCTGGGTGTGAGGAGACACATACCCCCGTCTGCGCACAGGAGGACTCCCATCCCTGGTCCCAAGGCTGCAAAGCAGTCCGCAAAATGATGTCAGAGTAACTTCCAATAAAGCAGCCTCTTTCTGAGGCCTAGTCGAGCCCCGCGCCTGGCACCTGGGCTCCTGGCTCCATCAGGTTGGGGGAAGGGGGTGGTGGGGGAAGGGCCCTGGAGCACACAGGGTCTGCTCTGATAGCTAGGAAGCCTTTGTGCAGAGGACTGGGAAGGCACGTTGGTGACAGTGGGGTGCTGCTCTCTAGAACTTGGCTCTGATCCAGCGTGAGACCTTGGCCCCCTCCCAGGGCTGGGGCCAATCCCAACTCATGTCCTGAAGAAATGCCCCAGGGAAGTTTTCCGTCTGCCAGAAAGTGAGCACTGGAGTCCTCTCCCACTCAGGGGGGTGGGAGGGCTGTTTGTCTCCCCCTTCCCCCCCATGCCTGTGCTGCCAGAGGACATTCCTGGGTGGTGAGAAGGCCACAAACATTCAGCTGCCCAGGTCTGGGTTTCGGGTGGACCAGCCAACTCTCAGACCAGCTGCCCTGAGCTCTTCCTGGTGCTGGATCTGCCGGGGCCTGGGGCCCTGGAGGGAGCTCTCTGGGTCTGGGATTCTGGGGGGTGATGGCGGTGGGAGGGGGTATGTGTGTGTGTTTGGGAGGGGGTAGGGGGAGGGGGTTCCCAGAGTCTATATCTCTGGTAGGGAGCTCTGTGCCTGGGTCGCTGGGCTGAGGGCCGGGCTGTGTATCTGGATCCCTGGTGGGGGACACTCCTACGTGTTAAGTCTGTGCTTGGTGGGGGCATCTATGTGTCAGGGTCTGTGTGTCTGTGAGTGTGGGGCGTGTTTTTGTGGTCTGTGCTTGGGAATATCCATCCCGGATGGACAGCAGCACTATGATGGGTCCTGGGGAGGAGGTGGGAAGTCTCTGTGTCTGGGAACCCTCGCCCCTCCCCCCCCAGGGGTGATGGTGGTGGGGTGTGTGTGGAGTGGGGGGGCCACCTAGGGGGTGTTGGTTTCTGTATATTTGATCTCATGGCCAGGAATTTTCATATGTTGAGGTGGGGATGGAGGGGGGAGTGGAGGAAGTGGACCACGGGTGCCCCAGCAGCCATAAGTGATGAAGTCCTCATTCAGGTGTCTGGAGGCCAGGCCCTTCCCCTCCTGACTAAGGCTCCTCCCTCTTGCCCTTCTCTCGTCACTTCTAGCTGCTCCTCACTCTTCCGTGTCTGGGTTTTTGGGACTGGCGCCCATCCTTCAGGATGTATATAGCGTCGGGCTAGGGGTAGGGTGCCTCAGACAGCCCTCTCTCCCTCTTTGGCTGAGAACAGCTCCTCTGTTGCCTCTGACCGGGGTGAAAACTGGGCCGGAAGGCCACATGTGTAAGCACAAACGTGTGACGGCAGCGACTTATATATGACCCATGACCTTTATTAGAAAGTGGAGACCCAGCACGAGGGGAGCGGAGGCAGCAGCGGAAGGTCGTCCGTACTTGGCAACGCAACCTCAGAGGGTTCAGAAGGCAGAGGAGGCACCGCGCCGCAGCGTCCACCACGAGGGTCCCTGGGGTCAGGCTGTCCCTTAGAAGCCACACGCGTCTGAGTCCCCAGGGCAGCCCGAGGTTGGATCTTTGCCCAGGGCTGCGAGGAAACCAGTCGTTTAGACTCTTAGGGGTGGGGGGAGCTGCTAGACATGCGGCCGAGGAGCCCGGCCTCCCCGGAAGAAACGAAGAGACGAAGCGGGGAGAGGCAAGGAGAGAAGCCGCAGTTTGGTCAGGTCGGGCCGGCCGGTTCCCGCAGCCCTTCGGCCTCAAGTCAGGGCCTCTGGGAGGTCCGGGGCCGCCGCCGCAGGCGGGGACAGTTCGCTCGCGGAGCCGGGTATTTACGAAGCCGGAGGCGCTACGCAAACCGCACCAGGCGGCCGCGGCCGCAGCTGTGTTCCGGGGGCGCGCACCGGGCGGGCGCGCAGGGGGCGCACAGGCCGGCGCTCACCGCCACGTTCCCGGTGCAGGGCCGGGAGCCCGATACGCAGAGGTCCCCGCAGACGACCCCGGCCTGGGAGCTGCTGACACCTGCAGGTGGAAGACAGGGCTTAGTTCTCATGTGAGGTCGTGGCATGCGGCCCCTGCTTGCTGGCCCAGAGCCCTCTTCTCTCGCTCAGAGCTCCACCCCTCCATTTCTATTTCCCAGCTCCCCCAAAATCCTCACACCTGAGCACTCCTTCCTGCAGTTTAACTTCAAGCATCTTTGATAAACTCTTAGCCCAGACCCTCCCTATAGGCAGAAATAGCAATTTTAAGTTACAATCATTCACTGCCACACCCCCTCCTTCCTTTTAGGGTCTTCCAACTATGGCCGCACACGCCGGCCTCCTGTTTTTGTAAATACAGTTTTGTTGGAACCCAGTGATACCTATTTGTTAAGTATTGCTTATGGCTGTGGCTGCTTTCACATCACATGGACCAAGCTGAAGAGTTGAGACAGAGGCTGCATGGCCCACAAGCCTAAAATATTTGCTATCTGCCCTTTAAGAAAAAGTTTGCCCATCTCAAGCCCTTATTTCAGAACCCACAGTACGGGTCACTGGTCACTTTATAGCACCAACGCCCTCACACAACCTTGTGGGGAGAGCAAAGAGACAAAAATTAGTTGAGGGGGAGCAAAGCTGATGAAATCTACTGTTAACCTGCAAATTCCCTCCTCCAAGTAATCTTGATGCAAATCAGATGCAAATAATATGCAAACATGCTCCTGGCTCTAAGCACAGTTTGGGGGGATGGAAGAGACATCCTCCCCACCGCTGAGGGCCTCACCTCTGCCCCTCACCCTCCAGCAGGCGCCTGTAGGTGGTGATCTCCGAGTCCAGGCCCAGCTTGGCGTTCATCACCTCCTGGTACTCCCTGAGCAGGCAGGCCATGTCCTGCTTGGCCTTCTGCAGGGCCTCCTCCAGCCCAGCCAGCCTGCAGCCGGCGTCAGTGAGGGCCGCCTCGCTCTGCTGCTCAGCCTGGCTTATGGCCCCCTCCAGCTTCGAGTTCCTGGGGGTCAGGAGAGAGTTATTAAGGCTCCCTGCTCTGGATTCAGGGTCAGAGGCCAGGCATCCACTGACCATCGACTGTCAGAAGAAGAAGGGACTTTACCCATTTGTTGGGTCATGGGTTGCAAATTAGTGCTCCCAGGGAATGTTGGCACAGAGTCTTTAGTTTTTGAAATTTAACATAAAAATCCAGAATCTGGCTTCTGTTGAAAAATGAGAGGATACGGCCCCACTGGGCCTGCATTTCCATAGGGCTGGCCTCAGTTGGATTGGACCAGCCTACTTCACTCATTACCACCCCCTGTGGATAGCTGAGTGTGTGATCACTGACCTAGAACAGTGGGCCAGAGAGGTGAAATGGGTGACCCCGAATCACGTCATGAGCTAGTGGCAGGGCTGATTTGAGAGCCCAATTTTCTCACATTTGATGTTTGTTCTTTTCCCCACACACTGGCAGGTGGTCCAACTTAGATCCCCCTGCTGCAGGCTAACCCATTCTCCTCCTGCACTGAGGGGTGGGCCAGGCTCTCGTACCTGGCACTCGGCATTCTCGACCTCGGCGGTCAGCCTCTGGATCACGCGGTTCAGCTCGTTGATCTCCTCCTTGGTGCGGCGCAGGGTCTCCCCGTGCCAGACCACCGTGGCCTTTATCTCCTCGCACTGGGGGGAGGCAGAGAGGCTCCTGAGGCTCAGGATGGGACACCCCACTGAACCCCATAGCTTGCACATCCGCTGCCCCATCCTGAGAGCGGCCTGCCCATCCCACCTGGAAAAAGGCCGAAGCCCTTTTAGCATCCTCCCTGCTGGGGCACTGGGCCCGCTCACCTTGCTGCGGTACAAGGACTCGGCCTCGGCCTGGCTGCCGCTGGCGATGTCATCGTACTGGGCCTTGATCTTGGCCAGGATGTTGTCCATGTTCAGTTCCCGGCTGTTGTCCATCTTGACGATGCCCGAGGTGTCTGAGATGTGGGCGTGGAGGATCTGGAGCTCCTGAGTGGGGAGTGGCTGGAGGGTAGGAGTTTCTTTGACCAGAGCCCCGCCTGGCAGCCCTCTCCTGGTCTCCCCCTCAGCCCCGGGACCTCTCAGTGCTCCTCAGGCCCCGCATCGCGAGGCTGAGAGGAGCTCAAGCTGGAGGTGCACTGCCTGATTTCAGTCGGGGCCTCCTGTCTCCATCCTTTGGGTCTGGGACCAGAATTTACCAATTTGTGATAATGGTCACCATAGTAATGAGAAACACCAGCCCATCTGGGGCATGGCAGTGAGACATCAAGCTACAGTTTTTCACCTTCTGACATAAACTGCCTCAGGTCTCTGAACTCTGCTCTGCACTGCCCCCACCCAAGGGTCAGAAGCCGAAATGGGGGCAAGTCCTTTCCGGTGTCTGACTCACACCCTCCTTGCTGCCCCACGGCCCTGCGGCCCGGCCCCTACCTCCTCATACAGTCGCCGCAGGAAGTCGATCTCCTGGACCGGGGCCTCCGCGTTGGTCTCCAGGTCTGATTTGTGCAGGTAGGCGCAGTCCACGTCCTAAAGGGGAGAAGGCGGCCCAGGGGTCTCACTGGAGTGACAACTTAGAGCTCTCCCCACCAGCGAGGGACACCTCACTGGGCTGGGCACACTCCCCAGACACCCTTCTTAGCTGCTCAGCCCAGTGCCTGGTACCATGGCATTGGTGAGGTCCTTTATGCCGTGAGGAGCAGGTTTGGGCAACAGAGGGGGATCCTGAGGGTTCCAGGCACTTCCTCTGATTCCCACTGGAATGACTCCTCTGGAATCCACATCTAGAACTATCACTGAAACTTAGGATCTCCTGTAAAATGGGTCTATTCCAGTGATGCCCCACCCTCTCTGCTCTGGAATCTCATGGAAAGAAATCTAGATCTGTGGTCAGAAGAGGTCTCAGTGCAATTCAGGGCAAGACCCTGGACCTCTGTGCCTCAGTTTCTCCATGGTAACCCCTGCCTTCCTCATATGGAGGTGGCTGGAAGGACCTGGTGAGCGTCCCCATGCTGGCGCCTGTGCAGACGGAAGTCCGAGAGGTGAGGAACAACGGCCTCGTTCACGCCAGCACTTCCCACCTGTTGCCGGCCCGAGGATGCAGCCAGCCTCTGGCAGTCACGTACTGTCATCCACCCGCATTCACGGAGTGCCTTCTCTCTGCCACACACAGGGCAGGAGGCAGGAGGCCCATGGCCAGATGGGAGTTACCCTGGATGGGGAGAAGACTGCCCTGCTTGAAGCGGGAGAGTACTCTGAGGTCTGGGGCAGCTCAGGGAGCACTGCGGCATTTGGGGAAAGGAATAGGGAAGAGGTGGTGCTGTGTGACTCTGGGGGAGTCCCTCAGCCTCTCTGAATTACAGAGAGCTCCCTCCTGCTTCTGCCCTCAGTTCTGAGGTGTGGGACAAGGATTCTGGGGTCACTTATCTTCTTCAGAGCCACAAATTCATTCTCAGTGGTGGCCTTTAGTGCCACCTCCTCTTCATACCTGGGGACAAAGGGCACAAGGGTCGGTGGCTAGAACTTCCATAGGCTGGCCATGAAGCCCAGACAAACACATTCCAGGAACCGCGTGTTCTGGAGGTGGTTACAGAATCCAGACGTGGAGGGACCTTGTCCATCTATTTCCTCCGGGCGCTCAAACCCAGCCACGTCACCCACTGCTCAGCCTGTTTCGGGGACTCTCATTCCTGATGGGGGCTGGGTGGGTACCCTGCATATTTTTGTAGGCCTCCTCTCTGCTTCTGGATCGTAAGTCCCTGGGGACAGGAACACTTTCCCCTCCTCCGTTCTTTCTCACCCCTGCCCCACCTCAGGGCCCAACACGGCACTTGGAACATAGAGTAGAAGTTCAGGAAGTGTTTGATGGATTAATGAAATAAACGCATGGTGATGAGGGAGCTGGAGCAGCTCAGACTCTCTCCGATGTTTAAGCTCCCATCCCAGAAAGGAAAAGTTCTCCCACAGGTTTCTTGTCGTCTGCTTTTTGTTGGAAAGTTCTTCTTGTGGGCTAATCCAAAGCTCTCCTGCTTTAACTGAATCCCATCTCCTTTCTCCAGACGCTCCTCCCCGATGTGCTCACCTCTTCTTGTAGTTCCCCAGCACCTCCTGCACGTGGTTGAGCTCCAAGGTCAGCCTCCCGCTGTCGGCCTCCACGCACTTGGCATCCGGCCACAGCGGCTTCTGGTAGAACCTCCACTTGGCCTCCAGCAGCTTGTTCTGCTGCTCCAGGAAGCGCACCTGCTGTGGTAGCGGGAGAACAGTCGGTGGGAGGAGCTGCTCCCCCCAGCCCTGCTTAGGGCACAGGCAGACTCAGGACAGGACCTGCGGTGGTGCAGCGTACAGGACAGGGGGTGGCTGGCACAGCCCCTGCCGAGCTCTCCTGGTCTGAGGAGCCATTGGCGGAATCCTTGTGTCGTGATTGCTTGTTCTGGCCTGAGTGAGGGTCTGTCCTGGTGGGCCTGGATGGGATGAGGAAAAGCTGAGGGGCATAGGCTGCGCTGGGTTCCTGTTGGGCTGGGGTGGGGGCGGCAGGTATGGGTGGAGGGTAGCGGCAATCAGGGAAGGCTTCTTGGAGGAAAGGAAGTTAGAGGAGGATTGGGAGGGATAGAGTAGGATGAAAGCCTTTCACTGTGAGCTCCCCAGGGGCAGGGCCCAGGGCTTCATTATCTCTGTCCTCACGGGCCAGCCTGGGGCTTGGATGGATGGTCACGGTGGGAAGGCTACCTGGCTGGAGAGGGCAGAGAGGGCAGGCTCTCACTGAGCAGGATGGCTGGGGCCTGAGGAGGCACAGGGAGAGGGGTGTGGTCCCAGGTGGCCCAAAGTCCTATGTTGGACACTCACGTGTCCCTGCAGGCCAGGCAGGGAATGTGGATGGGGGAAGGTTTTGGAAAATAGGGAGGGTGAGGGCTGCGGGGGAGTGCGGCGTGCAAGCCCTCACTGGAAGTCATTCACCCTGGAGGGGCCCAGGGGGCTGCAGAGATGGACAGAGCCTGGGCTTGCTGTCCCGCTGCCGCCCACTCTCGGTGGGCCCTGGCCCTCTATCCCTGACTCCTCTCTCTGCTGTGTACACTCAGAGGGCTGGGCTGCTGGCAGCGACCTCAAATATGAACCCTTCCTGGGCAGACTTCAGGACCGTGCCATCTCCTGGTGCCACCGTGCTCCTAATTAACCTGTAAATGGATTCGCTTGACATTTACACTTGAATGGAGTTGAAGGGGTAACTTTATATGACCACCACGGTTGTAAAACCAGTATCACAGGCAGACGTAAAAGGAAAGCATACGACATGAAATTCTGGCTGAAACTGTGGCCCCAGACAGCTCTGAACCTCAGGCTTGCTCTCTTTATTCAAAGTGGGAGCATAGCAAGCATCAGAGGGATGGTAAAGACATATTAGCACCCAATGAGATTTTCTCCATTGAATCTTAACTGTCTTATCAGGTGTTATGATGTTATTTAATGCTTTGATGTACCACCTAAAATTGTCACATCAAATATCAGCCGTCCCTAGTTCCCACTTCTGGAGACTGAGCTGAGAATTCTTAGGTCCTTCCAAGACTTACAGGTTCAGGAAGGGTGTGGTCAAGGACACTCATCTTGTCTGTAGGGACCCTGCCTGTCTGGACAGAGGTTGCATATAACAACAGTGCTATCAGACCAGGAGCCCCTGCCCTATACTCATTTCTGTGTCTGTCTGTGCCTTGGATGTGTGTCCATCTCTCCATCAGACTGGGAGCTCACCTGGACCACATCCCTCCAGCCCCTGACTACCTCTTCAGTGCATAGCCCAGGAGGGAAGGTTCAGGAAAGGCGTGATCAAGGACACCCACCTTGTCGATGAAGGCAGCGAACCCGTTGTTGAGGCACTTGACCTACTCCTTCTCCTCGTGCTTCACGCTCTGCGCGTTGGGGTCGATCTCCAGGTTGAGGGGCGCCAGGAGGCTCTCGTTGACTGACACGGTGGTGATGCAGGGAGAGCTGGGTGCGCGCACTTCGCCGGAGCGGTATCCGAAGCTGCGGCCGCAGGAGCCGGCCCGGAAGCCCCCGCAGACGCAGCGGGGCCGCGGTAGCAGGAGATGCCGCGGTAGGGGGCGGCCCTGATGCAGCCGCTGCCAGGCCGGGGCGCGCAGGGGGCGCCGAGGCGGGCTGAGCGGCAGGACAAGGCGCGGCGGCGGGACCGGACGGGCGCTGGACCCCGAGCCCGCGCGGCGCCTTATATCGCGGCCCGCGGGCCGGGCAGGGAGCGCGCGGCCGGCGGCTTTACGAGCGTGGGGTCGGCCCTCGCGCCTCGGGCAGCCGGGAATCCAAGCGGCCCGGCCGCCTCCATAAAACGGCGTTGCCTCCCGCCCGCGCTTTATGGGCCGGGAAGCGCTGGTCAGCTCCGCGGGCTGTGCGCTGCGACACCCTGCGCTCCCCCGACGCCGCTCCGCGGCCTCGGCCAGGGTGGCGCTGCATCGTGGGCCCCGACCCCAGGCTGCGCAGCCGGGCACCCCGCGCCCCCCATCGGTGCCAGCGCGGCAGCCTTGGTCTTGGTTATCTGGGCATCTCCGCCCGGTGCGGGGGTCCAGTGTGTGTGTGTGTAGCCGAGGGGTCTCTGAAGTCACTCCTGCAGATTGTTCTCGTGACCTTGGACAGGGGAACCACCTCTCTGAGCCTCAGTTTCCTCATGTGGAAAATAGGTATAGGAACAGTGCCCGTCTGAGAGTTGTTAAGCACCTAATGAGATAATGCACGGAAAGCGTTTAGGGCCCCACCTAGCACTTAATAGGAACCGTAAATGTTTGTTTATTTGTTTGCTTGTTCTATTTATTCTATTATTAATTTGCCATTCATCCTGTCTCCCTTTGGGCAAAAACTTTCTCTTCCCTCTTTCTCAGAACTCGGCTCAGAGCTCCTCTCCTAGGGAGTGTGGTGTCCTCTCTCCTCCGGCAGTGATTGATTGCGTCCCATACCCCTCTCCACTCTGCTTGGGGGGAGGGGAAGGGAGCTGCATTTATGGAGTGCCTACGGTGTGCAGGGCTTTATAACTACCGTATGGTCTCATCTAACGCCGAGGGCATCCTCTAAGGTCAGCATTATTGTGCCCATTTGCCTGATTAGGAAGGGGCAACTCAGAGTGGTCCAGGGACTTGTTTTAGGTCAAGCAGAGAAGGCTCCACCCAGGGGGCAGAGTCAGAATCTGAAGGGAAGCTCCCAGCCCTCCCCCATGGTACTCCTCGCTCCCCGCCAGGGTCTGAGTCTTGGGGGTGGGCTGAGTGAGGGTGGAGTTCTTCTCCCAGGCAGGAGCCCAGACTGCCAGGCTTTGGGTTCTTAGAGAAATTGGCCTGATCCAAAGTCTTATCCTCAGTTGTTGCTTGGTCATGACCACTGGCTCTGGAAGGCCATATCGCATCATCAGAAAAGTTAATTATGCATCCGGTTCTTGGGCGGAGGAAACCAGAGTGTGAACTCAGCAGCCAGCATTAAAGAGAAACCTGCAAATCACCCTCAGCTTCCTTTGCTTTTAAATATGAGTTGTTGTCCTGCAGAGGGTAATTAAATCCTGGAGCCCCAGCGGTCACCACGGCCAACTGTGCCTGGCTGGCATCCCCTTTCCAGGGAGCGCCCCACTGCCCCCTTTGCCATCTTTCCCACACTCTCGTGGGCCGGAGTCCCTGGGGTCCAGCCTTGCTTTTGCAGGAGACTCAGCCCATCCTTCGTGTCGGCCTCTGTGGAAGTCGGAGCCCAGCTCTACAGTGTCTCGTGCGTCCACTTCCAGCTCCAACTGGGGTTGCCAGCTGTGTGACTAATGGCTTTGGGGCTATGCAATTTTCTCCAGGAATATAGTATTGGAGAAGTCTTTCCTTGGTGTCTCCCTCACAGAGGAAATGGACTTACCGTGAAGTGTGGAGACCTTAAATTAGACTCATGGAGGCACTTACATGATGCTTGCTTGGACCTGTCTGGATTTTGGTGGGCGGGTGGAGCAGACTTTCTGTGCTATCACACTCAGTGAGGAGGTTAATAATCAGCCTTTGTTTACACAGATAATTAAGTGCATTTAAAATCCAGAGACTGGAAGGCTGCAGGCTGAGTTGTGCCTGCTAAGGTCACAGCCTGAAGGGGATGGAATTGAAAGGTTTGGCAGCTAGAGCAAGGTGGTCCTCCAGATTGTCAGTACTAAGCGCTGGCCCAGCCCCAGGGGACTATGTGCCCTGGGTCCCCTTCATTATTCTTGGGACCCAGTGGGGATTAACGGGCTGAAGCGTGAGGGAGTTCAGACACAGTCACGCACAGCCTTCCCCGTGGAGAGGGTTGGTAGGCGTGAGTGCTGGGGAGGAGGGGGGCTGCTCCATTCTCCACCAGATCTTCTAGAACTCACTCCCTTGCCCTTTTAATCCCCAATCCACCGGTCTATTGATGAAAAGCTAATGCTCTGTCTTGGTTGTCATGTCTTTAATCCCTCTGTGGGCCCCAGGAGTCAGTTCAAGGCAGGGAGCAGACACGTGCTGAGCGCCGAGCTGGAACCGGGCTCAGAGTGTGAAGGAGGAGCCTGCAGCCCAGGCCGGGCAGGCTCCACACTGAGGGCCTTGCTACAGAGCCGCAGGGGGCCTGGCGCCAGGGAGGAATGCCGCGTGCCATGGGCAGTTGGCAGGAGAGTGAGCCGCCACTCCAGGGGCTTGGGGCCAGAGGTCAGGGCAGGGTCCTTGGAGGAGATGGCAGGTTGGCTGGGCCTGAAGAAAGGTGGAGAATTAGCTGTGCTGAGATGGGAGAGGGGAGGAGGATTCAGACAAAGACACAAAGGAAGGGAGGTCGCAGGATGCGAGAGGAAAAGTGGGCGGTCCAGTTTGGCTGAAAAATAGGGGATAGATGAGGGCAGGGGAAAGGAGGCAGGCTGAGGGTGGGTGGTGGATCTGGTGGATGGGCGGAGTGGCTTAGAATGTCAAGCTGAGCCTGGAGGAGCTTGATGTGGAGACGGCCATGCTCAGAGGCGTGTGAGCAAATGGGACATGGGCATAGTACATAGGGTGTGTGTGTGAAAGTGTGTCTGTGTGTGTGTCTCCTTTGGTAACCCAAGGCATCATTATGAAACGTCTTGAACATCAACGTGCCCATTTCAATGTGCTTCCTTCTCCATTGGATAGTGGTCAAAAGTGCTTCTGGGATCAGACACCGCTGGGGTTCAAGCCTGGGGCTCCACCACTTACCATCTGGGCAAAAATTACATAACATGTCTGAGCCTCAGTTTCCTTTGTATCTAGAATGAAGATACCACACTTTTCCAGGGACGAGGTGAGGGTAGTGAGGTGTGTGTGTAAAGCACTAGTACAAGGCCTGGTGCATAGTCGGTGCTCAATAAATACCAGCTGCTATTATTACTGTTGTCGTTGTTGTTATTTCCCCTCTGTTGCTCACTGGGCACCCCAGGTACCTGCTCTGGTAACCATCCCCCGGCTCCCCCCTTCCACCTCCCATCCTGGGCCAGCCCGCTGTTCCTGGCCTGGGAGCTGTGGTCTCCTCACACGGATGCTCTCTGGCTGGGAACCCCAGTCCCACTGCTCACTCCAGGGTCAGACCTTGTGGGAGAAGACCCTCTGAAAGGGTCCCAGGCGACAGGGAGCCTTTTGATAGAGGCTGTGTGGAGAGTGTGGCCCTGTGCTGATGGTCTCGCTGAGAGAGACTCTGTGTTGGGTGGGGCTGAGGGATCGTCAAGGCTCATGGGAAGGGATGGAGGTGGATGGGCTGGCTGGGGGTTTTAGGAATCCGGATGTTTGGAACCCTCCCCCAACACTGGTGACACACAGCCACCAAGCTCCTGGGTCCTGCTTCATGAAGTGGGTGAACAAATAATGTGTCGGTGGTGTGGGAGCCATTTCCGTGCTTTAGTGAGTGTAGATGCACTTTCCCTCGGCCCGTGCCCAGGGCCAAGGGTTCTAGGTTGCCCTGAAGTGTGGGTCCCTGCGGCCTTGCCTGCGGGGCCCCTGGAAGGCTCTTCCTCTCAAAGCTGCCCCCTCCCTCACCCCTAAGATGGCCCGTCCTTTGTCCCTGCTCTCAGCGCATCTTGTGGCCCAAACTGAAAGACGGAGGTTATGATTCTAGCTCACCACCTGAACGAACTTGTCCCAACCCGGCTTCCCGTCCCCACCTTCATCATCTCAGCAAGTGCAGAGTGCACGGGCCTCGCTTGACTCACCCTCGGGCGCCCTCGGGCCCTCCGCTGTGGAAGAAATGCTGCTGAGGCTTCAGTGTTGCCTGAGTGTAGGATTTTCCAAAACTCCATCTTGCTGATGTTACCCAAGGAGAGAGGAGAAATGACTGGGAAGTTCCCCAAGCCCATAAAGGTGACAACGCGGCCACTCCACACGGGGAGGCGGGCAGACCCAGGTGTCCGGGTGTATAAAAGGGGCAGGCAGCGGGGGAGAGGACAGCATCCTCTGCTTCTTCCTCTGCCTTCGTCTCCTCCAGCCTACAGCCACCATGACCTGTGGATCAGCTCGCTTTAGCTCCTGCAGTGGAGTCCGCACGTCCAGCTCCTGTGTGGCCACTCAAGGATACAGCTCTGGCCGCACCTTCAGCTGCTCCTCGGCCTGTGGGCCCCAGCCTGGCCGCTGCTGCATCACCGCCGCCCCCTACCGCGGCATCTCCTGCTACCGCGGCCTTGCCAGCGGCTTTGGCAGCCGCAGCGTCTGTGGGGGCGTCCGGGCTGGCTCCAGCGGCCGCAGCTTCGGATACCGCTCTGGTGGCCTGTGTGGACTTAGCGCACCCAGCATCACCACTGTGTCGGTCAATGAGAGCCTCCTGGTGCCCCTCAACCTGGAGATGGACCCCAACGCGCAGGGTGTGAAGCAAAAGGAGAAGGAGCAGATCAAGATCCTCAACAACAAGTTTGCTGCCTTCATCGACAAGGTGGGTGTCCTTGATCACACGCTTCCTGAGTCCCACCCATGCTCAGGACTCAGGCTGAGGCAGGAGGATGGGGTCCAGGTGAGCTCCCAGTCTGATGGAGAGATGGACACACATCCAGGCCACAGACACGGAGAGATAACAGGGCAGGGATTCCTGGTTCGATACAACTGTTATTAAACACAACCTCTGTCCAGATTGACAGGGTCCCCAAAGAGAGACAAGGACAAGACTTAGAACTGCCTGTCAGAGAGAGGAGGCCATACATGCACACAAGATGCATAAGAAATACACATAAGAGATAGGAGCAGGACCACAGGGTCATCCTTTGGGATGATCCTGCTGCCTGGAACTCCCAGCCCGATCTCACACACAGACACACACACATAGACACACACTCATAGTGAACATGGGACCAGCTGAGGCCTCCTGGGCAATGCTCCCTCCCAACAGGTGTGGGTCAACAGGAGAGTTAGCCAGAGAAGGTGTCCTAGGGGAAATCTCTGTGATTTGGGAGGGGATTTTGATCCCTGGCATGGTGACCCCGGGTATGAGAAAGGATGTCTCCGCTTGGACATCTCCAAGATCATGGGAAACTTGGACTAATACTTGCAACCATTTCAAATGATAGAGAGAGGCCCTGGTGTGTGGGGGGGGCGGGAGGGGAGGGAAAGGCTGACGTGGAAGCTGGGGGGGGATGGGTCCTCCAGGATGCCAGAATTATGGGCAACTGGATGGCTGTTCTTTGGGGCCTCAGGTGCGCTTCCTGGAGCAGCAGAACAAGCTGCTGCAGACCAAGTGGCAGTTCTACCAGAACCGCAAGTGCTGCGACAGCAACCTGGAGCCGCTGTTCAGTGGCTACATCGAGACGCTGCGGCGGGAGGCCGAGCGCGTGGAGGCCGACAGCGGGAGGTTGGCCTCGGAGCTCAACCACGTGCAGGAGGTGCTGGAGGGCTACAAGAAGAAGTGAGTGTGGTGGGGCCGGGCGTCTTCTCTTGGAAGGGGATACACGATACGACAACGGGGGGGGGGGGGCCACTGACCGCGCTTGCTTTAGAAACTTCTTTCTTCATGAACCGGCTCTGTGCTTTTATCAGCTTCAAAGGCAGTGATGGGAAGACACATGAAGAGAAGAGAAGCTAAAACAGCAGCTATGAGCCCTTCCCCATGGCATTATGAACTTTTCAGGATGACCATCCCTATTCATCCATCCATCCATGCATCCATCCTTCCATCCATCCCATAAACCTGGTCTGAGCACTTACTCTATTCCATTATTGTGCTAGGTACCAGGGGTACAAAGAAATGACACCACCTCTGCCCCACTGTTCCCACCCGCTGGTTCCTGTTGCCAATTCCACCTGCCTTCCCAGATCTAAGCCCGGGCAGTCAGCTTATTATATTAGATGAATAGCAAAACCCAGATCTTTAAAATGAGCAATGTTTATATAAGTTAGAGAAATGTACTACTGAGGATATGGGTGAGCCAGGTGTTTCAGAGCTGGGGGGAGGGACATGGATGACAGGGGTATTTCAGACATCCCGGGGGAGGGACATGACAGGTCAGGTTGGGGTGGTCTTTCCTCCCTTCCATTACTAGCCAGACCTCCGAATAATTTCCCAAATCCCTTTCTTTTGTGGAGGTATGAAGAGGAGGTCACCCTGAGGACCACGGCAGAGAATGAGTTTGTCAGAATCAAGCAGGTGAGTCGGTCTGCCCGTGGGCCAGCAGCCTGGGACTCTGGCAGCCCCAGGGGCATGCGGTCCTCCCTCCGTCAGTTCATCAGCTCATACTTGATTCCCCCGATGGAAGGGCATTTTCCTCCTCACACCCTGGGAGGTCCATAGGGCAGGAATTCTCTGGATCTGCCTTTACAGAGAGTCCCAGAGAGGTGGAGGAACTTTCCAAAGTCACATGCTGCATTTTGCTACTGTGGGAGGGAGAGCTTAGCTTCCCGACCCTCAACTTCTGGGTCTGTGCCCGTGACTGGCTTTGCCGGGCTGGCAGTGGGATTGGGGATTCCTCCAGGGTGGGACTGGGGGAGGTGGAGTCCCCTGGAAAACCTCTACAGCATCTGGGGACTGCCTGTGTGTCTGTGTCTCCAGGAGGTGAACGGTGTCTACGTGCGCAAGGGAGACCTAGAGGCCAATGCCCACAGCCTGGTGGAGGAGATCAGCTTCCTGAAGTCCCTGTATGAGGAGGTGAGCATCGGCCGGGAGGGCGTTGGTCACCCTCCTCTCTCTGTCCCAGGCCAGCCTGTGTCCAGAGCAAACAGACAGAGGGGTCTGCAGGCCTGAGGGCTTTGGAAATGGTGGCTCCACATGTGTGTGTGCATGTGTGTAAAGGAAGGATGTGAGCTCTGTTCTCCTTGGCTCGGGATGATATATGTGATGTGAATGGCTGTTGGTCCCCCAGGAGATCCGCGTCCTCCAAGCCCACATCTCAGACACCTCGGTCATCGTCAAGATGGACAACAGCCGGGAACTGAACATGGACAGCATCCTGGCTGAGATCAAGGCTCACTATGATGACATTGCCAGCCGTAGCCGGGCTGAGGCTGAGTCCTGGTACCGCGGCAAGGTAAGTGGCACAGGACAACTGCCTCCACACATGGCAGTGGGAGGAATGTGAGGTGTATATTAGAAAAGGCTTCTTTTGTCTGGGGATTCTGATCTTTGGGATGATAGTAAAAGCGCAGAGAGGGCTGAGGTTGTGGGGGTAGGGCAGGGCTGCCATGTTTGGTTGCACAGGTTGAGCACTGTACAACCTGCACTATCATCTCTGCTGTCCTGAATGGTGGGATGTCCCATCCTAAGCCTCAAGGAGTCTCTCTGCCTCCCCCCAGTACGAGGAGATAAAGGCCACGGTGGTCCGGCACGGGGAGACCCTGCGCCGCACCAAGGAGGAGATCAACGAGCTGAACCGCATGATCCAGAGGCTGACCACCGAGATCAATAATGCCAAGAGCCAGGTAATGGTTGTTTGGGGCTACCCGGGTCCCACAGGCAGTGTGTGCCCCGTGTGGATCTCACCATTCATCCCCCAGCCCATGTGCATGAGTAGGGTCCCTGGTTGTAGTCACTCAGGGAGACCCAGTGGATAGGGCAGGAGGACTGTTCCTGGGGTGTTCCCAGCTGGGTGGGAGGCCTGGACACATGCAGGAGATGGACGGAGAGACCCAGGGACCACAACCCACCCTGTTCTCTTCTGGGTCCCCAGAACTCCAAGCTGGAGGCGGCTGTGAGCCAGGCTGAGCAGCAGGGCGAGGTGGCCCTCACTGACGCCCGCCGCAAGCTGGCTGGGCTGGAGGAAGCCCTGCAGAAGGCCAAGCAGGACATGGCCCGCCTGCTCAGGGAGTACCAGGAGGTGTTGAGCTCTAAGCTGGGCCTGGACATCGAGATCGCCACCTATAGGCGCCTGCTGGAGGGCGAGGAGCAGAGGTGGGTGCAGCCAGCACGATTGGGCTCAGAGCCTCACCTGCAGACCTGACCCGTTTATTTGCCCCATTACTTTCCCAGCCCCCATTTCTTCTGCTCCCATCTTGGAACCCTTTCGGGGTTCCTCCTTGCCATGGGGAGAGGCTAAAAAGAATAGTCTTCATTGAGGTCCACTGCTTGATTTCCAATAGTCTTCTTGTATGATTTAATTAGGGACAATGGTTTGCTGGATGTCTGAGGGGGAAAAAAATCCCTCTGATTCATAGTATTTGCTGATTCCAGTGGTGTAAATACTTCCATCATGGCTGATTTCAAGCTACCAGTCTGACTTCATGAAGAATTGGCCAGACATGTGCAAAAGAGGCTCTGTGAGCTGGTTGCAGAACACCACTTGTTAGGGGCGAGGATAGAAGGGGACCTCAAGCAGAAGGGGAAGATAGAAAGAAAGACATATTTCTATTAGGGAGATGGACAACCTGAGGCCCAGGGAGACTGCATTGTTCCAGGTCATGTAGCCAGTCTATGGGGCGGGGGAGGTGGGCTGGAGTTGAATTCCTGGGGGCAGATGAAGAGATCTCTGCGTCCCGCTGCGTTTTGGCAGGTCCCACTTCCCAGACAGATTCTGGGAGAGCCCGCCCCTTGTGCTCTTTTGGGATAGAGTTGGGGAGATGCTGAGCTACGGGGGATGCTAGACCTCAGACCTTCTCCTCGGACCTTCTGGGGGGGGGGGACTTGGGTGATTCCTTGGGTGACCGGGTTCAGAGCTGGTGACCACATGACTCCTGGGATCATTGCCAGGAACTCCTGCCCGGTCCTAATGCTGACCTTTTCTCTCCCTCATCAGGCTGTGTGATGGCATCAGCTCTGTGAATATCTGTGAGTAATTCTGGCCCGTAAGGGAGACACCGAGGTTAGACAGCGGGAAGAACATCTTAGCTCTGAGGGTGGACAGACCCAGGGCGTGGGGGTCCCATTCATTTCCAGCCACACAGTTACAGAGGGTTGACAGGTCCTGAGTGGAACAATTCCTCACTCCAGGCCTGTCAGGGTGCCGGTCTTATTTTCTCCCTATTCAAACACGCTGGTCCATGTTCCAGAAAAGTGTCCAACACTTTTCTGGATTAAACAGGTATTTTATCAGCTCGGTGTCCCCAGGGAGGTCTTCCTGAAATCAGTTACAAAAGAGTAGATTAAGAAGGGGTTGAGATGGACTACAAGATGGACTCCCTTCCAGTGAGAATGGAAGTCCCGAGGACAGACCACAGGGAAGCTCCCATTGTCTGTCCTCGGAGATGTGGCTGAGCAGGAGCTGTCCACCTGGGTGCTCTAGGCTGGTAGGGAGGGAGTTCTGATTGGAGGTGCGGGCTGTTTGGGACCAGCTCCCCACCCCCACCGAGGGTTCTGACTTCTCATTATTGTCCCTGTGCAGGTGTGAGCAACTCCCAGGGCGGAGTCGTATGTGGGGACCTCTCAACCACCCGTACCTGCACCATCAAGTCCCGCGGAGTGGGAATCTGTGGCAGCAGCTATAAGAAGTGTTAAGTTGGCAGGGCTTGGAGGAGCACCCGAGCCCCCAGCCCTCTCACCTTCCCGAGGATCCCAACTGGCCCTTCTGCCCAACCTGACCATGTGCAGCCTGGTGGCGGGTGCGATAGCTTGATCTCATGTGGACCCATCTTCCCTGCTGTCCGCTTCTTGTTTCTCGTTGCGTGGGAGTCCCCTCGACTCCTGCCTTCTCTGGCTGAGAAAGGCTGTTGGGAGGAGTGACACGTGGATCTGTTCTGTAAGAGGATTCTGGGCTGCCTGAGCCCATGAGGAGGACAGCCCCTCCGCCCCCCACCCTCCCTTTCTCTTGCTCGTCCCTTCCTTTCCCAAATCTTCTTTTCCTCCTTGCTGTCTGTGCTTAAAATAAAGTCATATAGTTCCTGCCATGGTTGTCAATCTTTCTGTCCATTATTTCAGGCCTGGAGGGGTGGGTGGGATCTCCAGGAGGGCATTCGACACGGTGGGGGCTGCTAGGGCCATGCCAGCGATCCATTCAATCGTGTGTTCAGGGCTTGGGGTGTAGAGCAGGGGGCTCTGAGGGCTCAGGGCTCCCCGAGGTAATTCTCCAGTGCTGGGAAGCGTCTGGCAGAGGCTTGTAGCAGGTGCTGGGCAGTGTTACGAGAATGAATGAATTCGTCTCCAAGGTTCCCAGCTGCCCAAAGGGCATCTCCATTTGAATGTTGCCCTGATATTTGGAATTCAACATGCCTTCAAAACATCTCATCATTTTCCCCTCTACTGATGCTCATTTGTGAGCTTTCCCTCTTTCTATCAGTTCTTCCTGAAATCTCCAGCTTAAAACCTATTTTCCCCACCCAATGAGTCATCAAACCTTGTCAATTTTTTCTTTGAAAAATGCCACCAGGAACTTCTTTTCTTGCAATATGTTGGACTAGGAACTCTGAAAAACCCTTTGTCATAAGTCACTTAAAATTCTGCATTATATACTTAAAAACTATGTTTTAATTCATCAACTATAGCAAGAAGGTATGGGAGATCATCAGAGGCAAAAACAACAAGAAAGCATGACTCCAGGGAGGGATGGGAAGGGATGCAGCAGGTTGGCATGGCAGGGGCACCTGTCGGTCACTGGTAGAGTGGGAGGGAAGCCCACTGTGCTCACGGATGGGGCACAAGAGTAGGCCCCTGAAAGGGAGAGTGGATGCCATGTCCCTAACAGACAACTGAGGCCGTCTCCAGCACCGGGGGAAGCAGGAACAGACTCTGCAAGGGGAGAGGAAGGAAACGGGCCTTCTTGACCCTGGCTTTGGGTAAAGGGAAAAATGTTTTCCCTGATAATTCTGAACTACAAGTTTGCCCTCACATAGGTTTGGCTTGGAGTTCATATTTTTTTCTGTGGTAAAAACCTACAACACCCAAGGTGAGAACATAGTTTCAAATGAGCCCAGATTGATGTTTCCCCCCTAAATCTGGCAAAAGCAAATGCAAATCCTCTCTAGAGGAATGCCATGAAAACTCAGGCTTCTGGGAATTCTCCGAGAGAGTCCCAACAAATGCAAGCTCACAATTAAACAAAGGTCGCGAAACGTGAGCAAAGATGCCATCATAAGCGGGAGTCAGCAGAAGCACCCCACTCCAGAACCCTCCCTGTGAAGACTGAGGATACTGGAATTAATCAGAGGCAGAAAAAACTGGGTGTGTTTCATATGTTAAAAAAAAAAATAAAAGAATACTAATACATAAGCTAGGAATAAGAGCTTTTTAAAAATAATAGACTGACTCGAAAAAGAATCAAATAGAATTTCCAGAAATGTAAACTATAACAATTATATGAAAACCCCAACAGATGGTGAAACAACACATTAGGCCCAATTAAAGAGAGAGTAAGTTGACAGATAAATCTGAAGAGATTTCCTGGGATGTAGCACAGAGAAACAAATAAAGGGAACATATGAAAGAGAAATCAAGAAGAATGGACCCCAAGATGGCCCAGATGTTGGAATGAGCAGAAGAAGACTTCACAGAAACTGTTATATGTTTGGAGAACTAAAAGGGTATATAATCTTAGTGAGTGAAAACAGAGAAATGGAAGCTATAAAAAGAACACAATGAAAATTCCAGACTTGAAAAGTGCCGTAACTGAGATGAACAATTCAATGAATGGGGTGAACGGCAGATTGAAGGTATCAGAAGATGGTGACAGTGAACTCGAAGACAGAAGAATAGAAATTTTCCAATTGAAACCATAGAGAAAAAATATTGAAGTAAAAAATAACAGAGCCTCAGAGACCTGTAGGACGTTATCAAGGAATCTAACTTCTCTATAATAAGCATCCCAGAAGAAAGAGAGAGTGAGAATGAGGTGGAAGAATAGTTGAAAGAACAATTTCCTACATTTGATGAAAAACATCAGCTTATAGTCTAAGATGTCAGAAAGCCCCAAGCACGATAAATACAAAGGTATCACAGGCATATCATAGTGAAAATCCTGAAAACTGAAGATAAATAAGCTAGAAAGAAACCAGAAAAAAAAGGTACATTACATATAGGGGAGCAATAATAATTACTGCTTACCAGTTATCAGAAGCAAGAGGGGCCAGACAACAGTAAACCCAGAATTTTATAATCAGCAAAAATACTCTTCAAAACAAGGGTGAAGGAAAGACATTTCAGAAACACAAAAGTGGACTGAATGTGTCACCACCAGACCCGCGGGACAAAGAAAGGATGACGGAGATTCTGCAGGCTGAAACGAAACGACATCAGACTGAATCTCAGATCTCGAACAGACACTTTACAAAAGGAGATGTATTAAGGGCCAATAAGCTCACGAGAAGTAGCTCGTCGTTCTTAGTCATCAGGGAAATCCAAATTAAAACCACAATGGGAAAAAAAATCTAACACCCACGAGGCTAAAATGTGAAAGACTGACAATACCATGTGTGGGGCAGCTGGAATTTTCATGGGGTGTAAAGTGGCATAGTCACCTTGGAAAATAGTTTGGCAGTTTCTTATAAAGTGAAACATACACTTAACAAATGACACAGCAATTCCATTCCTGGATGTTTGTCCAAAAGCAATGAAAATAGATTCACACAGAGACGTGTATATGAATTTCATAGGAGCTTTATTCATAATAGCCGCAAAGTGGAAACAATCCAGCTATTTATCAACTGGTGAATGGGTACGTAAACTGAGATGTATTCATGCATTGGAATATTACTCAGCAATAAAAAAGAATGAACTAATGACTCATGAAACAATGTGGATGAATGTTAAAAACATTATGCTAAGTAAAAAATGTCAGACACAAAAGAGTTTACTGTATACTCCTAGTCACATGAAGCTCTAGAACTGGCAATACTAATCTACAGTGACGGAAATTAGGACGGTGGTTGCCTGGGATGGGGTGAGGTGATTGACTGCAAAGGGGCATGAGGGGTCTTTCTGAGATGATGGAAAGGTTCATATCTTCATTTAGCAGTGGTTAAATGGGGACATACATCTGTTAGAACTTGTTGATTTGTGCGTTTAAAATGTGTGCATTTTATTGTATGTAAATTATATCTCAAGAAAGTTGGTAAACTAATGATTTAAAAATTTATAAGACATCTAGAAATAAATCTAACACATGTGAAAGATCTATACCTAGAGAAATATAACCTTTATGTAAAATGTTAGAGGAAATGAAAGATAACAAAGCAGATTTAACTAAATGAAGAGATGTATCATGTTCATAGATAAGAAGCTTTACTTTCATAAAGATATCAATTCTCCTTAAACTGAGTTACACAATCAATGCAACTACCATCAAATTCCAAACAAGGATTTACATAACTCTTAACAAGTTGATTCTAAAATTTATGGTGAGGAACAAAGATCAAGAATAGTCAAGGCCCTGATGAAAAAGAATGAGTCAGTATTTGCCCTTTCAGAGATTATGACTTGTTATAAAGCTATAGTAATTCAGTGTAGTATCCACACAAGAACAGATAAATTGACCAATGGAACAAAATGGAAAACCCCTCAAGTGACATATATATTGTCTATTCTTGTGTGTGTGTGTCTATATATATAATATAAGTATATTAAATATATAAATGAATTATATATAATACATAAAGTTTTATATATATATACTTTATAAATCTATATCTATATCTCTTTGATACATAAAGCTGTGGTATGGCAGATCAATCAGTAGCAACAGAGGGACTATGTACCGGTTTTCCCTATGGAAAAAAATGAAATTGAATTCCTGCCTTTTATTATTCACAAAGTCAGTTACAAGCAAATTAAAATGATAAATGTCAAGTGCAAAACTTTAAATTTTTTAGAAGAAAAAATTAGAGAATGTCTTCCTGACCTTGATGTATGGAAGGATTTTTAAACAAGGTACATAGAACGCTTAATATAAAAGAAAAGATTAAATTAGTCTACATTAAATTTCAGAACTTTTATTTATCAAAATATTCCATAAAGTGAAAAGACAAGCCATAAATTTGAAGATGAAATTTGTGATACATATAAATGACAAAGTAGTAATATCTGGAAATATAAAGAATACTTATAATCCAATAAGAATAAGGCAAACAACTCAAGAGAAAAAATGGGCAGAAGAAAAGGAAATACATACGAATAATAAACATTTAAAGAGATAATTCAGCCTCAATACTAATCATGAAAATGCAAAGCAAGACCAAAAATGAGATTGATTACACCAATAATTATTGAAAATTCAGATGCATTGGAGAGGATATGAATCTTTTCTACTCTGTCGATCAAAGTGTAAGTTGTTATTATAATGACTTTGGCCAGTAATTCTTGTCTTGTAACCTTGAACATTTGACCATCCTATGGCCCGGAAATTCAACTCCTGGATGTCTATCAAAGAGAAATTCTCATATAAGAGCATCAGGGGACATTTAGAAAAATGTTCATAGCACCAACTTTGTAAGAAGAAAAAACAAAACAAAACAATAACAGAATTACATAAAATCTGGAATATTCACTCAATAGAATACTATGAATCTTAGTGGAGGAATCCTAATTACATAATACTTTTTTAAAAACCAAGTCTCTGTGTACCATCTTTTTTATAAAAAAAGAAAACGAAACAAGAAAAGCTAAATATATCTTTAGGCATATGCACTTATGTGATAAAAGTAACAAGCAAGAGAATGATGACACACATTCAAGGAAGTGGTGACCCCTAAGGTGAGAAATAGGGGACAGGGTGGGGAAGGAGTGCGCAGGTGGATAAAAATTAATAGTAATCTTTTGGTTCTCGTGTCAATAAGTGGGCTCACAGGTATTTCATTTTCATTATATTATTAAATAAATAATAAAAGCAATGTGCTATTTATACGAAATGAACCCAAAACATAAGATCATAAATTGACAGTGAGAGAATGTGTCAAAGTGATGGGCTCGTGTATTGCACACAGCAGGAGTAATTGTTCATTAAACTTATTTCAGTTCATCTGTATGAATATGTATGTAGGTACCAATTCATGACATAAAATATATTTCTTTTGTGAGTTGTGGTTAAAAACGTTCGACAGCCCATATCCTGAAGAACCTCTTGCCAAACTACACCAGCAGTTATGTACAAAAAAGTTCAAAGCAGCATTACTTGTGATAACAGACATAAAAACACACATATGTATGGGCCAGCCCCAGTGGGCAGTCTAGTTGTTAAGTTCAGCGTGCTCTACTTTGGTGGCCTGGGATTGATTCCCAGGCACAGACCTACACCACTCGTCTGTCAGTGGCCATGCTGTGGTGGCAGCTCACATAGAAAAAGAGGAAGATTGCCAGTGGATGTCAGCTCAGGGTGAATCTTCCTCAGCAAAAAACCCCAAAAAACAAAAATCAAAAACCACGCATATACCTACCCATAGGAAAATGGAGAAGTATTCATAGATTGGAATACTACACAGCACTGAAGATAAAGAATGCTACATGCACCAGAAAGAATGAATCTCACAAACAGAATGTTGAGGAAAGAGTACATCATTGAAGCACACAGTCTAATTCTATTTATACAGAGCTTAAAGGTAGGCAAAACCAAAGAGTTTCTTAGGGATTCACACACACATGATAAAATGATAAAGAAAAGCAAGAAACGATTAACGCAAAAACCAGCATAGAGGTTACTTTGGAGATTGGAAAGGGTCAGGGGTGGAGGATGCTGTGATCAGGAAAGCCCACAGGGGGCTTCAAAGGTACTGGTGGGTACACAAGGATTTGTTTCATTACTGTTGCTATTTGAGTCGTCAAATGTATGTTTTACATGCTCTTTGCACGTCTGAGAAATGTAAAAAAGGAAAAGAAAATGCCGACAGCAGCTTGAGCTCTCTGTCCCTGGATACTCCCTCAGTTCAGAGTCATCATCCCAGATTTCCCACCTAGTCTTGGAACTGGAGTCCCCAGGCCCAGGTTCTCTCCCTCCACAATGCTACCAGACAGGCCTTCCTAAATTCCATTTCACACCAGGCCACTGACCTCCTCAAGCACCTTCTGTGGCTCCCCACTGCCCATTCCACAAGCCCAAGTTCCTCTGTTCCACACATTTCCCCTACCTGAAGTACCTGTCTTCCCCCTACCTTCTCCTTCCTTCAAGGCCCATTCCAGCCCAGGGACCTCCACTTTCTCTTCTGGGTTCACAGAAGGGCCCCTTCCACCCACGGTCAGAACTCTGCAATTGTAACAAGGTGAGGTCACAAAGCCCCCAGGAAGGAGAGGCCTGGTCCTCAGAGGTGAGGATTCTGGGAGCTCCTCGGGCTGCAGCTGGGCTTAGGTGCTCAAGGAAGGCGTCGAGCAGACCACAGCTCCCTTCATCATGGTGAGACTCGTCCACGTGGCTGACGGGCTCACAGCGGGGGAGGCGTCTTGGACTCCACCTAGATCTGTTGGCCCCAGCCAGGCACAAGCTTGTCTGCTGTGTCTACAGCCTCTGGGAATGGGAGCAGGAGAGGGTGGGCGGTGGGAATAGGGCAGAGAGTGGCGGGAGATGACGTTTTGCAGTCTGTTCATATCCGTTGCCCCACACGCTGTCTGCCTTGGAAAGAAACTTGCACTGGGCTGACATGAGCAGTTCCTATTCTCTGCATTGAAGTGTGTGTGTGACATTATGTCTCTCAGGGTGTAGAGCAAAAAGCGTGGGCTTAAGATGCAGTCCGGCTCAGCTGTTGAACAGCAGGGCCACTCACGTCCCTCTGGGTCCTTAGTTCTTTGCACGGCAGATGCCATGAGCATCAGCTTGCCCAGGGAAACATAAGGGAGGCAGCAACACCTACCTGGCCTATTTCACAGGTGGTCGTGGGGCCCCAGGAGATGGTGGAGGTAAATGACAGGACAGCATGAGGCTGTGCCAGTGTCAGTTATTGTGCCCAGGCTGGTCATGTGCTGGCATGTGGGGACAAGACGCAGGGAGGGAAAAGGCCCTCTGATTTTGTCCCTGTGGACAGCACTTCCCATAGTGGCCTTTGGTTTGGGGAAGAATCCAGAATTTGGATCCCCGTCACTGATTAAGAGCATTCATCAAGTTAAGGAAGTTTCTTCATACTCTTAGATTTTTAAAAGTATTTTAAAATTAGGAATTGTTGAATTTTATTAAATGCTTTTTGTGTTAATTTAGATGATCCTGTGTGATGAAGGGAGGATAAGTGATTTCCTAGAGTTTAACTAACCCTGTTACTGGGATAAACCCTGTGCGATCTGAGTCCGAAGCCTCGATTAAACAGATTGCTGCTCTGCCTTGTTGCCTTTGTGCCGGACTCCACGCTCCCTCTGGCGTCCCCAGGCCTGGTGGAGCACCCACCACTGGCACAACACAAGCGCATTTCATTCTCTCAACCACCCTTGGGGATGGGGAAGATTACCATCCCCATTTTACAGATGGAGAAAAGAGAGGCCCAGAGGAGTTAGATGACCTGCCCGTGATGGAAGGCGGATGGGTGGGCACTGGAACTGCCTAGCTGCCTCATTCGAGCACCCTTGTCTGCTCCCCTCATCTCCCTGAGCCTCCCCCCTACTCTGCTCCCCCCACCCCACAGTGTGAGGAGATAAAGGCGACCGTGCAGAAACACACGCAGAGCCTGAGGCACAGCAAGGAGGAGCTGAACAGACTCAACCAGGCTATCCAGCGGCTGACTGTGGAGGTGGACGGCGCCAAGAGTCAGGTGAGGGTGGGAGCAGGGGCGGCAGAGGGCTGATGGTGGGGGGTGTGTCCATTGTTCGTGACAACTAGACTGGACGTCTCCCCCTTCCTTCGGAATCGATGGACAGAGTTTCTCGTTGTGAGTGTCTGGGCAAACAGGAGTGTGGCTGCAGGTGCCTGGCAGGCTTACATTGCCTAGGACTCTGTATTTCACGTGGGTAAGTAATTGCCATGTGGGTAAATAGGGATGAATATGTATGCTTGTTTCTATATCGTTTTTTATGTGTATGTACATTTTTATGCCTGTGTGTTTTGTTTATCTTACACAGCATTAAATTTGAGCCCATCTTCAGAACTTAAAAGATTTTACCTAGAACTCCAGTTTTTTGGGTTCTCTTGAAAAATGTGCAGATCTGGCACTATTAAACTATGATCCCACATGGTAGTATTTGGCTGGAGAAGAGAGGACTCTACCTTCTCTGTCGTCTTCACAGGAGGATATGCTCCTGTGTATGCCACAGTCCCCACCAGTCCGTATTGCCTCTTTTGACACCGAGGCAGAGGGTTCTGGGCCGTTTACTATCCCCTTGAAAGAGAAAAGGTGCTGAACCTCTGTCTCTATCTAAAGCAAAGAAATGAAAGACCGAAAACATGAAAGAGGTTCCAGCAGTCTCAGGAAAATGGGAGCGTGTATCTCTCCTTGTGGAACTGGACACTGTTGATTATATTTAACATTTGGCGCCCACAGCCAGGCATCTGCAGATGTTTGTGTTCACGACTCAGGCTTTAGGTCTTCGGAGGGAGCTTCCCACAGGAATGCTTCCCTCCTCAGCCGCCCTCTCCCTCCAGTCCCTGGCCACGCTCCAGCCCGCAGAAGGAAAGGGTTCTGTTCCCTGTCGGTCTGTCTTGCTTTCTGCAGTTACAAGTGTCTCAGGCACTGAGGGATATTTGGGGGCCTCTCGCTTCTCCAGAAGTAATGACTTCGAGAAGGGACAAGCTGTTCAGGTTCTGGGGCGGAAGTGTGAGTGGGTGGGCCCATCGTGGTTCAGTCTCCCACCAGCCACAGCTGCGCTCATTCCCCCCCTGGGTCCCTAAGCAGCAAGCACTCCTCACCAAGGCAAGCACTTATTATTATCATTTTCCCCAGAGACTACACATTAGAGCTTCCTGCGAGGAAAGGATATTCCTCCTGTTAGTTTCTCTGATGAAACCGTAATCCCAGTGCATTACGTGCTAAGGGGAATTTGATGCTTCCTGATCCGAGCTCACATTAGAAGTGTCGCCACACTGGATGTAAAAAGCTTTCTCTCAGCTGTCCCAGATGTCCGGCCCCAAATCTTCACCCTGGGAGCGGGGTACACATTTAAACCCACGTTTCCGAACAGGCGTGCTCGCTCCTCACAATGCTCTCTAATGCCTCCTTGGCCCTCCAGCCTCTGAGAAAGGTCTGGATCCTTGAGGGGAGGGGCATGGGGGCCAAGGATGTCCTTCTGTCCATGGTCTTCCCTTCGCCCCCAGCCCTGCGAACTCGAGACAGCCAAGGACTCGCCTGCTCTGCAGGAGGAAGGTGCCTCCGGCAGCGCCAAGGGCAAGCTGGCCTGGCTGGAGGCCGCCCTGCAGCGGGCCAAGCAGGACATGGTGCGGCAGCTGCGCGAGTACCAGGAGCTGATGATCGTCAAGCTGGGCCTGGACTTCGAGATCGCCACCTACCGCAAGCTGCTGGAGGGCGAGGAGAGCCGGTGAGGGCTGGGCAGTGCCCGGGACAGCGAGGAAGGCAGGGACACAGGGAGGTCCCCACCTGGGTCCTCACCAGCTGGGGAGGGGTGGGGAGAGGGAGACCCGGGCATCCAGGGATTCATTCTCCCGGAGCCTGTTTTTTCCTACCCTCTTGCCCTCTGGAAAGGTCCCAGCTAGTGAGCACCCTTGGCCCCTGGGATGGGGCGACTCATAAAGTCATTCACTCCCAGGATCAGAGAGCAGGGGCCAGTGTGTCCATCAAGACAGCTGCAGGGACCAAGACCCAGCCAGTGGAGTAAGGTCCCCAGGGTAGAGTGCCTTCCTCTCAACTTTGCCCCTCTCCCCCCAGCCTCCAGCTGCTTACACCAGGCGGAGGGGAGGGAGAGGGAGCCCACCACGCAACAGGCATGCTGCATTCATTACCTCCCACGTTTACTCACCCCCACAAAAACCCTGGGAGGGCTACTATCCCCATTTTACAGATGAGGAAACTGAGTCTCAGAGGGTAAAGGACCACCTCAAGGACACGCAGGTAGAAAGTGATTGGCTGAGGCTTGAACGATATTCTTCAGATAATTGAGCTCTCTTCTCTGTGGTATCCTTTAAAATGCCCCTCCCTCCCCCCACCATGGTCTCTCCTTTCAAGATGTTGAGGCCAAAGAAAGTGTAGATGCGTTGCCTTCTCCCTCTTCCAAGAAGTCATCAATAGAGGGGAGAGTTATTGAATTGAAAGCAGGAAGGACTGAGTTTAAAGGTCCAGAAGGAGTCTTTACTTCAAAGAGGTGTGGGGATCCGAGAGCAGTAAGGAGGTGCAGGATGGAGAGCTCTGCGGGTCTGCCAAGGGCCGGGAGGGTTCTGTCGTGGAGGAGGATATTCTGCCTAGCAGTCAGAGGCACTCACTGCTTCCTCCTTCTCCCCGCAGGCTTGGTCTGGGATTTGGGACCGGGAGTGTCAGTAAGTAAATAAGAGGTGTGACTTGGTTAGAGGTGTCAAATCTCGACGCCCCCCCCCCGCCCCTCCGCGTGCATCTTCTTGGGAAGGGCTTGTGGCTTCCCTGGACCCACCACCCAGCACTTCTTGGGGCTGCTTCCTCTGGGTGTCTCCCTTTGGTGGGGGGCCATTTCTTCTCTTGGGGATGATTCTTTGTTTTCACAGGTGTTGGGGGGAGGGGTCCTGTGGTCTGTTCTTCGTCGGGGGAGGTTCTGTCTGTTTGTCCTGGGGTGTAGGAGGAAGTTCTGTGGCTTTATCCTGTAAAAGAGACTGTTTTATTCTCGGATGGGGAGAATCTGCGTGTTTGACTTCAAGGAGGGGGGATTCTTGAGTCTGTTTCTTGGGGGAAGGGGTCTGTGTGTCTATTCCTTTAGCGAGTTTGCAGTCTGTCTCCTGGCGGGGAGGAGGGTCAGTGCATCTGCCCCCGGGGGAGGAGTCTGTCTGTCTTCTGGGACTGAATGGGGGCGGGGCGAGGGGAAGAGGGCGTTTCCTCTCTCCAACAGCCGCTCTCCGCTCAGCCCTGGGCAGCGCCCCCACCTGCGGGCCTGGCTCTGCCGCGGGCGCGGCCCCCCCGCCGCCGCCGCCGCCGCCGCCGCCTGCCGCGGGCTCCCTGGAGACGAGCGCCCCTGGCGGCGGCTGCGCGCTCTGCGGCTCCCCCGGCTGTGTCGGGGCCTTCAGCTGCACCGGCCCCCGCGGATGCTGAGCCCTCTTACCCCGCCCCGGAGAAGTCAAGGAACCCTCGCTTCTGCTCCCGAAGACTTGGCCCTGTGTCTCAGACGCCCCCTCCCACGGATCTGGCCCTCCCCTCACCTCTCCCTTTTGTCCCCCATCCTGGAGCGCAAGGTCTTGGAATGTAGATTCCTGGTCGGTGACAGACCCGTCCCCAGGGCGGAGAGCGCCTGGATGCTGTGATCCTCGGGAGGCCTGGCTTGTGGCTTATCTGCGCCCAGCCCTCTGCCCCTCTGAACTGCCCCATCCCTCTTTTCCTGGGACTCCTCCTTTGCAATAAAAAGTTCTGCAGTGGACTGAGCCGCCAGCCTGCTTGTGCCTGGTTCCTTATGCTATTGGGAAGCAAAGACAAAGCTGGCCAGACTTGGGGCGGCGACAACACTACCAAGAAGCCGCCCTCCCCTTATGGTGTGTGGGTCCGCATGACTTCAGTTTATGGTGATATTACAGAACTAGGATCCAAGGTGGGGAGGGGATGTGATCAGAGGGCCCTCGTGAAAGCCACAGAAGGGTTAATTCATGCAGAGGGTCTGCTTGTCCCCTAGTCTGGGGTCTGCAGTCAGCTCTTCCCGGCAGAGGAGCTGAGAACTGCATTCATTCATTCACTTACTCCCTCTACAAATACTTATTGAAAGCCCTCTGAGGGTCAGAGCGCTTGGTGAGTGAGACCACACTCTAATCCTGGCCATCTGGGGCAGACGTTCCTGGCGGGAGGCAGGCCCTACACAAGGAGACAGACCAGGAGAAGAGAGTGGGATGCGGAGGAGGACGAGCCTTGGACGGCTGGCCAGGGGCACTTGGGGACAGGCCCTGGGGGAGATGGCCCTGGCAGGATTGGGGCTGGGGGAGATGAACACGGTCAGGTGGCTAAGGCCCGAGTTCTAGTTTAAAGGTGATCTGATGGTTTGCTGGGAACAACCTACTAACCAGCTATGGTGGAGGAAAATGTGGGCTTTGGAGTCAGACGGCGATTCTGGCTCTGCCTCTGCTATCAGGGCTATTGCGTAGTTTGGTCTGAGTTTTCACGTGGCCACTGGACTTTCGGGGGCAGAAGACAGGCCAGTTTGGGGAGTGGGATGGCCAGCGAAGGGCTGGGTTTCCGGGCTCTTTCCTTGCCACATAGGCCCTGGAGAAGCCTCGGTTCAGAGAGCTCACATTCTTTTCTCTTGCACAAAGGATTACATCATCCACACATCCGGGGAACAATGGCTACTGCTTTCCATGTCCCTGGGTGGGGCTAAGGTACATCATTGGCCAGACGCCCTGGGTTTACCTTTTAAGGTATGCTAGAGCCAGGGTGTCTGCTGTGTTCTCCTGGGTCCCTGCCCGGAGAACAGGTATCCCAAAGGCCCCCTTCCTGGTAAACAGAGCAGTCTCATGCAAGAGGAATGTGACCCAAACTTGGCTGGCAGGCTGCCACCCACCTTGAAGGGTCGGGGACACGGCCCCACAGGACTCACGCATCAGCCCTGTTTGATCAATCCTGGGCGACAGCAACTGTGTAAACATTCTTACCAACCCTCCCAATGCTAGCACTGCCTGAAAGCAGGGCCACCCTCTGTAGGACTTGTCGGTCGGGCTCCAGTTCCCACATTTTGCTGGGAGGTAACGACATTCTCTGATTTTCAAGGTCAGGTTTTTCCTGCTCCTGCTGTGCTGGTCATGTCAGAGAAGGAACTTTGTGGGAAGCACAGGGAGAATACCACTAGGAGTTGTCGGGAGGGTTATGGTGAGCCTTCCGCAGCAGCTCTCACCCAGGGCTGGCCGCCTACGTTTTCCTTTTCCCAATCCCGAGCCTGAGGTCGGTCCGGGAGATCCCAAGGGCTGTGGGATTTGAGACTCTTGCTGGGCCAGGGCCACGTGGGCCACCAGCAATGTTTGTGGTTTGGGGACAGATTCTCTGAGTGGCTCCCCTGGCCCTGGGCCACATTCCAGCCCGGGGAGGGAGAGAACTGCTATTTACGGTGCATTTATGGAGAGTCAGTCACCAGCCCATTTACAAACTTTGTGAGTGGGTGACTTCTGAAGGGAAAGGGTCGTCACCGTTCGGTCATGGCTTCTCAGCAGGAGGAGGACCAGAAGGGGTGAACCTTCTGTCGGCTCCCCATGCCTGCCTCACACTTAATACACTTAAACGTGATGGAGGCAACTTCGAGTCCATTGATGGACGCCCGTCGAGGCCAGTGACCGCTCATCCGTCCATCTCCAGGCCTAGAGGTGAACGGGGCTGGGCCCTGCGGTCCTGTTGGCCTGTCCTCGGATGTCTTCGGCCCTCTTCTTTCACCATTAACGTGTCTCGCCCTATGGAAACCCCATGGGAGTCTCTTGATGGGTCTAATTGTCATCCTCCTGTTGCAGTTTCAGCTGCGATGTATTAACCAGGCCCGCCTGGACTGAGAAGGAAGGTCGGATTCTGTTCCCCATTTGCTGTTACCTTGGCCCAACTCTTCCCCTGTTTCCGGGCCCCAGTCCCGCCCTCCCGCAGCTCTTACTGGTGAAGATTCATTTATCCTTTTTCCTTTTCCTCCTGGCTTAACCTCTCTGCACCACAGTTGATCTGTAAAGTAAGAATGGGACCCGTCACAGGGCAGTTTGAGAATTAAATATATTACTGTAGGCAGAGTGCTTAAACATAATAAGAGCTATCTAAATGTAATTAACGTTTCACTCACTGGAGTTCTGGGCAAGGGTTTTGACTACCTTCGAAGAAGGCGTTACAAAGTCCAAGGCCAACTGGCCTTCCTCTGGCCCCACTGGAGCCGGAGTGCCCATAAAGCAGTGGGGGTGGGTAGGTGAGCCCGGGGCTAGAGCTCGGGCCCCTAGCCAGAGGGCACCTCCCCAGTGTGACAGCCAGCAGCACCCGCCCATCACCAGTCTCACCTCAGCCCAGTTCTCCATCCGTGAGCCCACCTCAGCAGCACATGAGTCCACTTGTGCACCCACATTGCACTCATGTCCACATGTACCCACAAAACTCCTCTCTTTAGCATGTCTACCCAGCAGACACACATTCACACATGTAATCACATGTCGAGAAACCCTCCGGCACCCACACATATGTGTTTCCACACAGATGCCCGGAGATGTGCGCACACCTGGGTGCAATCCTGCTGTTCCACTCACAGACAGCTGCCCGTAGACGGAGCTGTGCAGAATGAAGATGCTGACAGTGTGCACCCAGCGCAGCTGCATGGTGCCCAAGCTCCCTGCTTCCCTCCAGCTCCTAGTCCTGTCCTCCGTCTCCAGCAGAAGAAGAGAGCTTTCAATTGGTAAGGGACCTTAGCAGCCATCCGGTCCAAACATTTTTTCTCACTTGTGAATACACTAAGGCTCAGAGAGGGGAAGGGCTTGCTAAAGGACACACAGCAAGGTGTTCATTTCCTCCCTGTTCTGCATCGTGGGCATTGTGTGTTAAATCACTCCCCCTTGTCCCTCACCTGAGCCTGTCCAGGAGAGGGAGCCTAGAGGGAGGCGAGGATTGTGGCTCTGGAGCAGGAAAGAGGAGAAGGTTCAGAGCTGGAGGGAGGGTGAGAGAGTGGAGGAGGCAGGTCATCAAGGTCCGGATGGGCTGATGAGACCAGCGAGAGGGGAAGGGAGGGGTCAGTTGGCAGAGCTGAGAAGTCCCTCGAGCTGGTGCCTTCTGAGCTGGGGAGGGATGGAGGGATGGAGCGGGTGCCCGGGCCTCAGGTCCAGACTCCTGATGGGGCTGCTTCTGAGCTGTGTGGCGTCACAGCACAGAGGGCTGGCTAGAACAGTGGCACACTCTGGAACTCTCCCAGGGCTCTGTCCTGCTCAGAATTCCATCACAGGGGTGGAGGGCCAGGTTGGTGGCCAGGAGAACAGGGATTGGTCCTGTCCCTTCAAAGAGCCCTTGTCTTTTCAAACCACTGGCTTCTGGTCTCTAAATATTCTTAATTATTTCCATTGCCCTGAGGGCTCACATTTCTGCTCCAGTTTTCTGGGCTTGGGACTGGAAGTGTGGAGATTCACCCCGCTGTCCAGATGTATGTTGGGGGACTCGCCTTGGCCCATAGTGAAGCTGAGGGACCATCTCCCTACTCCCACCGCCACTTGTAAGGGCCTTTTCAATATGTGTGTGCATGTGGGGGGCTGGGGGGGACAACAGTTCCCTGCATGGAGGAGCTCCATGGCCCTGGAAGACGTGGAGAGTTCTCTCTGATCACAGATATAAGTGTAAAGAGAGGCAGGCCACAGCCGTGTCCCTGGAGGGATTGCTACTTTATATTCTGAAGAAGAATACAACTAACGAGAAACACATATTGTGGTTATTTTGTGGCAGGCAAGAAGCATGTTATGATGTGAAATTCCTTAACCCTCCCATCAGCGCTATGAGGTAAGTGCTCTTATCATTCTCAATTTAGACATGCGGAAACTGAGGCACAGAGAGGGTAAGTAAATGCTCAAGGTCACTCAGCTAGGAAGAAACAGAGCCCAGTTTGGACCCCAGCAGTCTGGCTCCAGAGCCCAGGTGCTCACCTCTACGCCACATCATCTTCTTGCTGCATGCTGTTTTCTATCTTCGGGGGTAATGTATCAGCTATGGCAGGCCCCCAAACCCCCAAAGGACTCCATTAAAAAAAAAGGTAGCCGCATCAAAGGCTTTCTGAAAGTTTAAGTCATGTTCACGTATTTACCCCTTAAAGAATTCTCATAAATTACTCAGGCGTGAGTCTCCCCCACGAAGCAGTGAGTGATGTTTCCTTAAGCTTGGAGTGACTGGTGAATCAAATTTTTGTTATCCATCAGTTGGCAGTTGGGCACAGGGATGTTTTCTGGGAGGCAGCTGTGGTTTAGTGAAGTGAGCACTGGAGTGGCATTCAGGGTTCATCCCCCAGCTGCACCACTGACCTCAGTGCCAGTCAGGCCCAGCAGCCACCTGTGTCTGAGCTCCATCTGAGAGATGTATCATGAAGGTGGGGTGGATAAAATCACATCTTGTGGGGGCCCAGCGCAACTCTTGGCTAAATCTGAGACTGCTGTGACCCCAGGGACGGAGGACCGTCCTGGAGACCCCAGACTAGGCCTTTTTCTGCTTCTTGTGACTTTGGGGACCCTCCTAAACCGCGACCCTTGAGGAAGATAACAGAGGTGCAGACAAGGCGCAGGGTTGGCTACATTGATTTATTGGAAACACAGAGACAGAGACGGACACGGCAGACGAGGAAAGGAAAAGGCTGGGGGTTTCTGGCTATTGGCCCCACGGCAGCCTGGTCCTCTCTGCGCCGCAGCTCCCTTCCTGCGTGCGCCAAAGGGACTTCTTTCTGGGGTAGCCCTTCCCAGCAGAAAGAGGCAGACGGAGGAAAAGGGGATCGCAAGTAGACGTGAGAGGCCAGGAGTGGGGCGGGCCTTTCAAAGCGCCAGGGAAGTAGCGGAGTGCCTGCTCCGCCCAGGCATGGGCGGGGCTGGACCAGGCGGGGCGGGCCGGGCCAGGCTGCGTAGGGGAGATGCCTGGGCCGGGGGTTTGAGCTGGGGCGCCTAACATTTGCGGCAGCTGCTGGCGTAGGAGCCCACGCCGCAGGAGCTGATGCCGCAGGAGCCCACGCCGCCGGTGCCCAGGCCACAGGACGTGATGGAGTTGCAGGGCGCGCAGGGGGCGCACAGGCCGGTGCTCACCGCCAGGTTCCCGGTGCAGGGGGCGCTGCAGACGCTGCCCGTCACAGGCCGGGAGCCCGACACGCAGAGGTCCCCGCAGACGACCCCGCCCCGGGAGCTGCTGACAGCTGCGAACGCCAGAGACCCCGCTGAGTCAAAATTCTAGGGGGCGAGTCATCCCGCTTCCCTGACGATGCCCCTCCCCAGGCCCTGAGTGCTGGGTTTTAAAAGTCAGGAGCATCTTTACTTGACCACTCTAGGTCCATTTAGCCTCAAAGCTGTGGGTTTTCCTGCTCGCTGACCCCAAATCCCTCCTGCTGGGAGGTCAACCCACTCTTTCATAGTTAGGTTTCAGGGAAACCCCTCCTCCCGGACTCCGCCATCCCTTCCGGGAAGGGAGTAATCCGTCCACATAGGGCCCGTGCTACTCACAGACATTCACAGCCCCAACGCCTTCACACAGCCTGACAGGGAAGGAGAAAAAGGCAACGTTAGTGGCTCCCCAGAGCTGCAGACAGAGCGCCACAAACCCCGGGGGGGGGTCGCCCACAGGAGGTCAATACTGCAGGAGCAGAGGGTCTGAGGGAGGGGAGGGAGGGGAGGGAGGGGCCCTCCCAAACTGCGCTCTCCCCAAGAGTGATCTGTAATACGTTTGTCCCAGACCACTGGCACTGTTGAGCCAGGAGAAAGGGTGGCCTTAGTTCAAGGGGCAGGAAGGGGCAGCTCAGGGCCAGGGTGGGTTGGGCCCCACCTCTGCTCCTCGCCCTCCAGCAGGCGCCTGTAGGTGGCGATCTCGATGTCCAGGCCCAGCTTGGCGTTCATCACCTCCTGGTACTCCCTGAGCAGGCAGGCCATGTCCTGCTTGGCCTTCTGCAGGGCCTCCTCCAGCCCGGCCAGCTTGCGGCGGGCGTCAGTGAGGGCCACCTCGCCCTGCTGCTCAGCCTGGCTCACAGCCACCTCCAGCTTGGAGTTCTGGGGACCCAGAAGAGAACAGGGTGGGTTGTGGTCCCTGGGTCTCTCTGTCCATTTCCTGCATGTGTCCAGGCCTCCCACCCAGCTGGGAACACCCCAGAACAGGCCTCTTGCCCTCATCCCCTGGGTCTCCCTGAGTGACCGCAACCAGGGACCCTACTCATGCACATGGGCTGGGGGATGAATGGTGAGATCCACATGGGGCACACACTGTCGGAGGGACCCAGGTAGGCCCCAAACGAGCATTACCTGGCTCTTGGCATTCTCGATCTCGGCGGTCAGCCTCTGGATCATGCGGTTCAGCTCGTTGATCTCCTCCTTGGTGCGGCGCAGGGTCTCCCCGTGCCGGACCACCGTGGCCTTTATCTCCTCGCACTGGGGGGAGGCAGAGAGGCTCCTGAGGCTCAGGATGGGACATCCCATCCATTCAGGACACCAGCGATGATAGTGCAGGTTGTACAGTGCTCAACCTGTGCAACCATACGTGGCAGCCCTGCCCTGCCTTGCTAACATACACCTCACATCCCTCCCACGGCCATGTCAGGAGGCAGGTGCTCTGTGCCACTCACCTTGCTGCGGTACCAGGACTCCGCCTCAGCCCGGCTGCGGTTGGCGATGTCGTCGTACTGAGCCTTGATCTCGACCAGGATGTTGTCCATGTTCAGTTCCCGGCTGTTGTCCATCTTGACGATGACCGAGGTGTCTGAGATGTGGGCTTGAAGGACACGGATCTCCTGCAGATGGTGGGGGCAGTGGGTGGAAGGAATTGCTCACACAGCCTCCCCTACCAGCCTATATGCAGTCTTCTCAGCCCTTCCCGGGGCTCCAGCCCCTGTGCCCTCTGACAGCCTCATGGATGGCCACCCCTGCCCAGATGCCGTCCACCTCCAGTCCCAGACCAAAGGCCTCTCTTCCAGGCCGGCTGCCTGATTTCTACCTGGACCACAAGCCCTCACCTCCTCATACAGTCGCCGTAGGAAGTCGATCTCCTGGGTCAGCGCCTCCACATTGGCCTCCAGGTCCGACTTGCGGAGGTAGGCGCAGTCCACGTCCTGGGAAGGTGGGGGGCCCTTTGAGCTCAGTGGAGCCCTGGTGATCGTCACCCCAAACTCCTCTCTTCCCACCCATTCCGTGGAGGCCAGGGGGAAAGGATTCCCCAGTGTTCCCATTCCCATCCCATCTCCACACCTTCCCACCTCCAGGACGGGCCTCACCACCTCCTCCTCTTCTAAGAACAGACCCTGGTGCCTTGGAGATGGGCCACCAGCCTTTCTCCCCTCCCACCTGAGACATCTTGTCCCCCCACCTCTCCTTTTTACCCTCCCCTCTTCCAGGAAGCCTGTCAGACTGACTCCCCATCTCGGCCACCTTGACCCTTGCCTGTCCCCCACAGTCCTCCAAGACTGCCCCTTGCCCCATGGCTCTGCTCCATCCGCCCCAAACCCTGGCACTGTGGCCCTGCTCTTGGTCAGACTTGCCACAGTGCTAGACAGGACCCTGTCCCTCCACAGAGAGACTGAAGCTGCCGTGCCCGTGTGTGGACCCCAGCCACAGACCACAAACTCGGAGGCAGAGCAGGACATCCAGGGGGTGACCCAGCCGTGTCCCTGCCCCAGGGCCGGGTGCTAGCGGATATTCCAAGGTTACAGCCCTTTGTCAAAGCCCTGGACGTGCCTTCCAGGACCTGATCTCTGGGGATTTGCTATCCTGAGGTGGCGAGGGCACTGTGCCCCACACTGAGGTGGCGGCCCTGGGTCTCCCCTAGCAGAGCCTGTCACTCCGAGAGCCCTCGTGTCTGTGCCCACCCATCCCACGTTACCCACCTTCTTCAGAGCCACAAACTCATTCTCGGCTGTTGCTCTCAGAGAAACTTCCTCCTCATACCTGAAGCACAAGAGGGCAGAGACGGGGGTCACAGCAGAGCGGGTCTCCCCGACCCCCTCCACTCATCCCAGGGAAGGGGGAAGTGTCAGGACCCCCCGCCCCTCAACACAGCTGGCTCCTGGCAGCCCTGCCGGGTCCTTCCTGCTTGGACTGGGGTGTGTCTGTCACTCTTTCTCCACCGAAAAGGCTGGAGTGGCTAATCTTCTGGGACCTCACAGCCCTGTTCCCAAAGCTGCTCTGAGTTCCTCTCAGGAGGCGGATAAGCCTCAGCACCCAGCCCCACGCAGGAGTGGACAGCACCAGCTCTGGGGCGCTGAGGCCCCACCTCCCCTCCTCTGGAGTCCATCTTGGCTCAGGTGTGGGGGCCTATGAGACCCATCGGCCGTCAGCACTCAGCACCCTTGGCAGTGGGATCCCCCAGAGCTCCAGGACCCGGGAGCCCTGAGGGACCAGATGCTCACATTGGGTCCAGGGGCTATGGTTGGAACCTGGTGGTCAGGAGAAGAAGGCCTGGGAGATGGCAGAAGGCCCTCCCACAGAGCACAGGGGGCAGCTGCCAGGTGAGCAGGCTCAGAGGAGAGAAGGCTGAAGTCGGGGAGAGCTGCAGGGGAACCCGGCCCGCTACTCGCACAGGTAGCTGGGCCACAACTGCACCGATGAGGAGACCCTGCCTCACACTCCTACCCCGGCCTGCACGGCCATGTGCCCTGCTTGGAAATCCTTCTTGTGTCTAATCCGCTGTGCTTTAGCCTGAGTCATTTCCTGGGCCCAGCATCCCTCCTGGCTGCCTCACCTCTTCTTGTAGCCCTCCAGCACCTCCTGCACGTGGTTGAGCTCTGAGGCCAACCTCCCGCTGTCGGCCTCCACGCACTCGGCCTCCCGCCGCAGCGTCTCGATGTAGCCACTGAACAGAGGCTCCAGGTTGCTGTCGCAGCACTTGCGGTTCTGGTAGAACTGCCACTTGGTCTCCAGCAGCTTGTTCTGCTGCTCCAGGAAGCGCACCTGCCATTTGGGGTGGGGAGGAGGGGTCAGATGGCTCCTGGTGCCCCAAATGCATTTTTGGGGGGAGAGAGGTGATTGCTTTAAGGTAAACTGCCAGCCCAGAGCTCCGCAGAGATGACAGAGCTGGGCAGTGAGAGACAGGGCCACTGCTGGATTTCTTGACTGGGTCTATGTCTCCATTTTCCAGCTTATAGATGGGAGCAAGAGGCTGGGGAAGGTCAGTCCCACTCCAGGTAAATTGAGTTATCCCGACCTGATGAGTCCAGGTGGGTGTGGTCAGGACTCAGTAGAGGTCTCTTCCTCTGCCCTGAGTGCCTATCCTGAGTGGTGGGTATGTTTCAGGTAGGACGTGATCAAGGATACCCAAGCAAAAGGTGACCCTGTTATCCTGTTCCTATTTCTTATGTGCATTTCTTGTGTCTTGTGTGCATGTACGTCCTCCTCCTCTGACAGGCAGTGCCAAGCCTTGTCCTTGTCTCTCTGTGGGGACCCTGCCTGTCTGGATAGAGATTGTATTTAATAACAGTGCTATTAAATCAGGAGCCCCTGCCCTATACTCATCTCTGTGTCTGTCTGTCCTGGATGTGTGTCCATCTCTTCCATCAGACTGGGAGCTCACCTGGACCACATCCCTCCTGCCCCTGACTACCTCTTCAGTGCACAGCCCAGGAAGGGAAGGTTCAGGAAAGGCGTGATCAAGGACACCCACCTTGTCGATGAAGGCAGCAAACCTGTTGTTGAGGATCTTGATCTGCTCCTTCTCCTCGTGCTTCACGCACTGCGCGTTGGGGTCGATCTCCAGGTTGAGGGGCGCCAGGAGGCTCTCGTTGACCGACACGGTGGTGATGCAGGGCGGGCTGGGTCCGCACACGCCGCCAGAGCGGTATCCGAAGCTGCGGCCGCAGGAGCCAGCGCGGAAGCCCCCACAAACGCTGCGGCTGCCGAAGCCGCCGGCGAGTCCGCGGTAGCAGGAGATGCCGCGGTAGGGGGCGGCCGTGATGCAGCAGCGGCCGGGCCGGGGCCCGCAGGCCGACACGCAGCTGAAGGCCCGGCTGCTGAATCCTGATCCGCAGGCCATGGTGCTTCTGGAGGTTTGGGTTGCAGAGTACAAGGTGTGAGGTCTGGAGTCTTGCTGGAAACTCCAATACGCTCCTCTCGGCGCCCCGGTCCTATTTATGCTGGGATCTGAGCAGGCTGGGCTCTGCGATGGGGTTGGGGCAATTTGTGCTTTATAGGCTTGGGCGGTTAGGCGGGCTGTGCCTCTCTAGAATGTGCTTTAATGGTGGAGTGGCCCGCACCCTCCTCTGTGTAAAGGATGCCAACCCCTGGGCCATCGGGGACTCAGCATGTTTCATCTTCAAAGTGCCTCGCCAACAGGACTTTCACGCATCTGAGGGTTTGCTGGGAGAAGGGCAGGGCAAGTGGGGGGGTGGGGGAGGAGTGGGGCCAGGAGAAGGGGAAGAGAAGGGAGGAGGAGGGGACCTGTGTGCGTGTAGGGGATGAGTGGGGAGGGGACCCAGGAAAGATTGAGATATTAGCAAAACGTCTAGAAGTTTCCATTCCAGTAGTGGCCGAGAGGCTACTAAACCACGAATCTGGATTTTCCTCATCCCCAAATGGTCCAGTGGGCTGATCAAAACATCTGAACTTTCCTACTGTGGCAGCAGCCAGCAGATTATTAAATATTTGTGTTTTATGGCTTTTTCAACTTTTATTATGAGAGTTTTCAAACATATAGAACAATTGAAAGAACGGTATAAAGACATCTGGTGATGTTCCCCCTCGATACCTGGAGTCAACAGATGTTCACACGCGGCCACCTTTGCGTTCACATGTGCCCGCTCATCTGGCAGTCACAGAAAGTGTGGCGCGTAACCCTCAAACACCTCGGCGTGTGTTTCCTAACATAAGGACAGCACCATTTTCACATGCGAGAAAATGAACAATTCCAAAGAGTCATTTACTACCCACTCCATATTCCATTTTCCCAATTGTCCCGAGAATTTTAAAAAATAGGTTTTATGCGAGTTAACCTGTGGCTCTATTCCTCGTGTTTTCCATAAACTGGGAGTGAATTCCAGAGCTGAGCTGTTCAATATGAAGCCCATAGGCACAAGTGGCTATTTAAATTTAAATTAATTGAAATTAAATTAAAAATCGAATCCTGCAGGTGCACTAGCCGCATTTTAAATCCTCACTAGTCACACGTGACTGGTGGCCTCCTGATCGGATAGCGCAGATCTAGAATGTTTCCACCACAGCATAAGTTTCTGTTGGATGGACCAGAGTGGTCCAGAGGCTGGGTGATGTTTAGCTTAAACATTGTGGGGCAGAATACTTCGTAATAATGCTATATTACCCCTTATTGTATCACAAAGTGTCAGGTTGTCCTGTTGGTGGTGCCACACTGATTCGCTTGAATACATATTTCTCTTTACAATGGGACAGGCCTCTGTAGGGAGATGTGGGTCCTATTTTAATAAGAGGATATTTGCTTTTCACTGGACACCTACTATGTGATCATCGCTATATGCCATATACGATCTCCAGTTCTTGCATCAACCATATGAAGTATGTACCACTATTCTCATTTTACCGATGAGGAAACTGAGGCTCCAAGAGGTTAAATAACTCAGCTACAGTCTCCCAGGTGGTAAGGAGCGGAGCCCAGGAGATGCAATGCCTTCTTGCCTACAAGCTATGGCAACCCCTGGATTTCCTAATCCTTGGAAAATTTCAAGAGGGTAAATTTCAAGAGGGTAGAGAACGTTGTTTAGGAGGGGATATCTGTGGATTCAGGATTGGGGAGAGTCAGTCTAAGGAAGATGGGCAGGGTCAGAGGGGGCTGGGACGGTTAGAACTGGGAGGGGCCAATGGGGCGTGATTTGGTACAAGGGCAATGCGAGGCTGGGGCTGAGGGGCATGGGTTGGATCACAGGACACTGCGGCTGAGATCTGAAGGGAGGGGATGGGAAACGGCAGTTTAGTTATCTGTATACCTCTGCTGACTGTAAGCAGCTTGATCAGTCGTACTGTGTTCTGCTGACCCACAAAGCACCCCCTCTCCAATGGAGCAGGTCCGGAAAAAAGATCCCGTAAAGTAAGGGGTTTGCATTAAATGGAAGAGA